ATCAGCATCAGCATCAGCAGCATCAGCATCAGCATCAGCATGAGCATCAGCATCAGCATCAGCATGAGCATCAGCATCAGCATCAGCACATCAGCATCAGCATCAGCATCAGCATCAGCGCATCAGCATCAGCATCAGCGCATCAGCATCAGCATCAGCATCAGCGCATCAGCATCAGCATAAGCATCAGCATCAGCATCAGCATCAGAATCAGCATCAGCATCAGCATCAGCATCAGCGCATCAGCATCAGCATTAGCATCAGCATCAGCATCAGCATGAGCATCAGCATCAGCGCATCAGCATCAGCATCAGCATCAGCATCAGCGCATCAGCATCAGCATCAGCATCAGCATCAGCATCAGCATCAGAATCAGCATCAGCATCAGAATCAGCATCAGCATCAGCGCATCAGCATCAGCATCAGCATCAGCATCAGCGCATCAGCGCATCAGCATCAGCGCATCAGCATCAGCGTTGGCATCACCATCAGCATCAGCATCAGCATCAGCATCAGCGCATCAGCGCATCAGCATCAGCATCAGCGCATCAGCATCAGCATCAGCATCAGAATCAGCATCAGCATCAGCATCAGCATCAGCATCAGCATCAGCGCATCAGCATCAGCGCATCAGCATCAGCATCAGCATCAGCATCAGCATCAGCAGCATCAGCATCAGCATCAGCATTAGCATCAGCATCAGCATCAGCATCAGCATCAGCGCATCAGCGCATCAGCATCAGCATCAGCGCATCAGCATCAGCATTAGCATCAGCATCAGCATCAGCATGAGCATCAGCATCAGCGCATCAGCATCAGCATCAGCGCATCAGCATCAGCATCAGCATCAGCATCAGCGCATCAGCATCAGCGCATCAGCATCAGCGCATCAGCATCAGCATAAGCATCAGCATCAGCATCAGCATCAGAATCAGCATCAGCATCAGCATCAGCATTAGCATCAGCATCAGCATCAGCATGAGCATCAGCATCAGCGCATCAGCATCAGCATCAGCATCAGCATCAGCATTAGCATCAGCATCAGCATCAGCATCGGCATCAGCATCAGCATCAGCATCAGCATCAGCGCATCAGCATCAGCATCAGCATCAGAATCAGCATCAGCATCAGAATCAGCATCAGCATCAGCATCAGCATCAGCATCAGCATCAGCGCATCAGCATCAGCGCATCAGCATCAGCATCAGCATCAGCATCAGCATCAGCATCAGCAGCATCAGCATCAGCATCAGCATTAGCATCAGCATCAGCATCAGCATCAGCATCAGCATCAGCATCAGCAGCATCAGCATCAGCATCAGCATTAGCATCAGCATCAGCATCAGCATCGGCATCAGCATCAGCGCATCAGCATCAGCATCAGCGCATCAGCATCAGCATCAGCATCAGAATCAGCATCAGCATCAGCATCAGCATCAGCATCAGCGCATCAGCATCAGCGCATCAGCATCAGCATCAGCATCAGCATCAGCATCAGCAGCATCAGCATCAGCATCAGCATTAGCATCAGCATCAGCATCAGCATCAGCATCAGCGCATCAGCGCATCAGCATCAGCATCAGCGCATCAGCATCAGCATTAGCATCAGCATCAGCATCAGCATGAGCATCAGCATCAGCGCATCAGCATCAGCATCAGCGCATCAGCATCAGCATCAGCATCAGCATCAGCGCATCAGCATCAGCGCATCAGCATCAGCATAAGCATCAGCATCAGCATCAGCATCAGAATCAGCATCAGCATCAGCATCAGCATGAGCATCAGCATCAGCGCATCAGCATCAGCATCAGCATCAGCATTAGCATCAGCATCAGCATCAGCATCGGCATCAGCATCAGCATCAAAATTAGCATCAGCATCAGAATCAGCATCAGCATCAGCATCAGCATCAGCATCAGCGCATCAGCATCAGCGCATCAGCATCAGCATCAGCATCAGCATCAGCATCAGCATCAGCAGCATCAGCATCAGCATCAGCATTAGCATCAGCATCAGCATCAGCATCGGCATCAGCATCAGCGCATCAGCATCAGCATCAGCATCAGCATCAGCATCAGCATCAGCATAAGCATCAGCATCAGCATCAGCATCAGAATCAGCATCAGCATCAGCATCAGCGCATCAGCATCAGCATCAGCATCAGCATCAGCATCAGCAGCATCAGCATCAGCATCAGCATTAGCATCAGCATCAGCATCAGCATCAGCATCAGCATGAGCATCAGCATCAGCATCAGCGCATCAGCATCAGCATCAGCATCAGCGCATCAGCATCAGCATCAGCATCAGCGCATCAGCATCAGCATCAGCATCAGCATCAGCATCGGCATCAGCATCAGCATCAGCATCAGCATCAGCATCAGCATGAGCATCAGCATCAGCATCAGCATCAGCGCATCAGCATCAGCGCATCAGCATCAGCATCAGCGCATCAGCATCAGCATCAGCATCAGCATCAGCATCAGCATCAGCATCAGCAGCATCAGCATCAGCATCAGCATTAGCATCAGCATCAGCATCAGCATCAGCATCGGCATCAGCATCAGCGCATCAGCATCAGCATCAGCGCATCAGCATCAGCATCAGCACATCAGCATCAGCATCAGCATCAGCATCAGCGCATCAGCATCAGCATCAGCATCAGCATGTGCATCAGCATCAGCATCAGCATCAGCATCAGCATCAGCGCATCAGCATCAGCATCAGCATCAGCGCATCAGCATCAGCATCAGCATCAGCATCAGTGCATCAGCATCAGCATCAGCATCAGCGCATCAGCATCAGTATAAGCATCAGAATCAGCATCAGCATCAGCATCAGCATCAGCATCAGCATCAGCATCAGCATCAGCGCATCAGCATCAGCATCAGCATCAGCATGAGCATCAGCATCAGCGCATCAGCATCAGCATCAGCATCAGCATCAGCGCATCAGCATCAGCATCAGCATCAGCGCATCAGCATCAGCATCAGCATCAGCATCAGCGCATCAGCATCAGCATCAGCGCATCAGCATCAGCGCATCAGCACATCAGCATCAGCATCAGCATCAGCATCAGCATCAGCATCAGCATCAGCATCAGAATCAGCATCAGCATCAGAATCAGCATCAGCATCAGCATCAGCATCAGCATCAGCATCAGAATCAGCATCAGCATCAGCATCAGCATCAGCATCAGCGCATCAGCATCAGCATCAGCATCAGCGCATCAGCATCAGCATCAGCATCAGCGCATCAGCATCAGCATCAGCAGGAAGAGAAGAGAGAGCTACGCCCTGTGGGGATTTAGAGGACAGTGGCAGCCTCATGGAAGCATGGATGCAACCTCGTACATGGAGCAGATGGTTGAAAATGCATCTAAGCTGCTGGCAGTGCAGAGGCTGTGCCGCAGGAAGAAAAGAGAGATCAACCTCCTGGGGGATTAAGAGCAACCTGCTGGAGCAGTGGGAGAAGGCCGGCGTGAACAAGGCTGCGAAAGACCATGTGCGGGATGAAAAGAAGACGGCATTATCACTGTTGATGGAATTTTACTTGCAAGGTTACAAGAAGCTGTAGCTGAGAAGTTCCTTTGCTATATTACAAGCTCTTCTGGGGTTATTGATTGCAAACTCGTGCCTAGATGTGACGTTGTGACAAGCACATTTCTAGTATAGCACTACTGAACAACCTCGCTGCACATGGGTTTCCCCCTAGAACAATCTCACTGCACATGGGGTTCCCCCTAGAACAATCTCACTGGACATGGGGTTCCCCCTAGAACAATCTCACTGCACATGGGGTTCTTCGTAGAACAGTCTCACTGCACATGGGGTTCTCCCTAGAACAATGTCACTGCTCACTGCAACTGCACATGTGGTCCTGTAGAAGAAATTCACTGCAAGTTCAGCCATTATCCCTAGAAGAAATTCATTGCAGGTTCAGCCATTATTTATAGAAGAAATTCACTGCTTGTTTAGCCATTACCCCTAAAAGAAATTCTCTGCACGTTCACCATCCATCATCCATCTTTTCACCATCAAGTCATCCATGGATCCATCAAGTCAGCCATCATCCCCTTCACTTCTCCATCCAGCCATCATCCCCTTCACTTCTCCATCCAGCCATCATCCCCTTCACTTCTCCATCCAGCCATCATCCCCTTCACTTCTCCATCCAGCCATCATCCCCTTCACTTCTCCATCCAGCCATCATCCCCTTCACTTCTCCATCCAGCCATCATCCCCTTCACTTCTCCATCCAGCCATCATCCCCTTCACTTCTCCATCCAGCCATCATCCCCTTCACTTCTCCATCCAGCCATCATCCCCTTCACTTCTCCATCCAGCCATCATCCCCTTCACTTCTCCATCCAGCCATCATCCCCTTCACTTCTCCATCCAGCCATCATCCCCTTCACTTCTCCATCCAGTCACCAACTTTCACCATCTTTCTCTCCTTAACTTCTCCAGCCAGCCATCATCCAGCCCTCCATGGCCACCCCACCAAGGAAAAGCACCCGTCTGTTAGTTTTTTTTTTTTTTTTTAGGCCTCACCATCAGAGCCAGGGACAAAAATCCTTCCCATCAGCATCTCCGGGCGCGATGCTTACGGGATGAGACCCGGAGGCGTTAAACTCGGGTACTGCCGTGTAACTCGGCTAAAAATCCCCCGACGTAGAGCAACATTGCGCTTGCTCTAGCCACACCCACCTCAGTGTGGTCTTCCCCTTTGTAGAGCAAACCAATTCCAGCAGTGCTGAAACTAGCTTGCCCTAGCCACACCCACGCCAGTGTGGACTTTCCCTTTGATGCTGAGGTCTAGCCACACCCACCTGGATGTGGACTAGCCTAGGAGACCGAGAGCCCCCCACACCCACCCCGGTGTGAGAAAGCCTTCAAGTGACTGAGAGGAGATTTCTCCACACCCACCCCGGTGTGGACTACTCTCTCTCTCTTAAGTGGCTGAGACCCTCCACACCCGCCCCGGTGTGATACTGGCCTCGTTAGTGCTCAAGTCCTCCACACCCGCCCCGGTGTGATACTGACTTGAAGAGATTGTAACCCATTCCAGCAGTGATGCTACCTGGCCATCCGGGTGCCCAGAACGCTCTAGAGGCCTGAACCTCCCTCCAATGTACAGCCCGCCGGCCGGCCGTCTGCACACCGTCAGGCTCTAAAGCGTTCCGGCCCGGTTGCTCATCACAGCACCACTGGAACGGGTATCCAAACTCTGCCCCCCACACCCTCCCCAGTGTGGGAAAGCGCTGCTGCATGTCTGTCTCATGCTTGCCACTCCAAGGCCCCATCAAGCCTTGGCCACGTCTCAGCCACAGCTCAGCCCCCTCCTGGTCGAGGCACCCAGGCAGCCCCCATTGCGCGGCGGAATCCGTTTTTTTTCTGCACAGGGCAAACAAATGTAGTCAGTATAGTGAAATGTCCATGGCTGGGAAAAAACGAAAGTTGAATCAAGTGCGAAACAGAGAAAGGAGACAGCTTGCAAGGAGAAAGCTTGCAGAAGGCAACTTACTTTGTGGGTCTCTGCTTGAAAGTTGCAGCGCCGTGCAGTGCAGTCGCAGCAGCTCCTCCCAGCAGCCTTCCAAGCAGCTCCTTATCCTGCACATGAAGAATACACAAAGTCAGTATAGTGACATGGCTGGGAAAACGACAACTGAGTCAAGCTTGAGAGAGCGTAAGAAGTCAGCGTAAGGACACAGCTTACTTCGTACGTTGCACCGCCGTTCAGATCCTTCCACCTCTGTTCAGATCCTTCCACCGCCGTTCAGATCCTTCCACCGCCGTTCAGATCCTTCCACCTCTGTTCAGATCCTTCCACCTCTGTTCAGATCCTTCCACCGCCGTTCAGATCCTTCCACCGCCGTTCAGATCCTTCCACCGCCGTTCAACTCCAGCAGCGTCACTTCCTTCCCTGCACAAGGCAAATGCACGAAATCAGAACTTGGTATGGAGCTCACAAAAAAACATCTAAAACGACAAGTAAACAGCAAGCATAAAATCTGAAGTTTGCATAGAGCAGCAGCCAAACAGCAACAGAGCGAGAGAGAATCTTACTTTGAGCTTTCGCTTGGCTTGGAGTACTTGAGGATGGCGGATGGAAAGGGCCTGCTTCCCTTCAACTCCAGCAGCGTCACTTCAACTCCAGCAGCGTCACTTCCTTCCCTGCACAAGGCAAATGCACGAAATCAGAACTTGGTATGGAGCTCACAAAAAAACATCTAAAACGACAAGTAAACAGCAAGCATAAAATCTGAAGTTTGCATAAAGCAGCAGCCAAACAGCAACAGAGCGAGAGAGAATCTTACTTTGAGCTTTCGCTTGGCTTGGAGTACTTGAGGATGGCGGATGGAAAGGGCCTGCTTCCCTTCAACTCCAGCAGCGTCACTTCAACTCCAGCAGCGTCACTTCAACTCCAGCAGCGTCACTTCCTTCCCTGCACAAGGCAAATGCACGAAATCAGAACTTGGTATGGAGTCACAAAAAAAACATCTAAAACGACAAGTACACAGCAAGCATGAAATCTGAAGTTTGCATAAAGCAGCAGCCAAACGGCAACAGAGCGAGAGAGAATCTTACTTTGAACTTTCGCTTGGAGTACCTGAGGATGGCGGATTGAAGGGGCTTGCTTCCCTTCAACTCCAGCAGCGTCACTTCAACTCCAGCAGCGTCACTTCAACTCCAGCAGCGTCGGCTGCCTTCCCTGCACAAGGCAAATGCACGATATCAGAACTTGCTATGGAGCTCAGAGAAAGAATATCTCAAACAACAAGTAAACAGCAAGCAAGAAATCTGAAGTATACATAAACCAACACAGAAGGGCTACAAAGAGAGGGATAGAGAAGCTTACTTTGAACATTCAGGCGCTAATCCGCGTGCACCGCTCCCAAGGCGCTGACCCGCGTGCGCCGTTCCCAAGGCGCTGATCCGCGTGCGCCGTTCCCAAGGCGCTGATCCGCGTGCGCCGTTCCCAAGGCGCTGATCCGCGTGCGCCGTTCCCAAGGCGCTGATCCGCGTGCGCCGTTCCCAAGGCGCTGATCCGCGTGCGCCGTTCCCAAGGCGCTGATCCGCGTGCGCCGTTCCCAAGGCGCTGATCCGCGAGCGCCGTTCCCAAGGCGCTGATCCGCGTGCGCCATTCCCAAGGCGCTGATCTGAAGAAGGGCTTCCTCCGAGCTCCTTGTCTGCACATAAAACATAAATGCGATTAGTACTTATACCACGTAAAGCATAAAACGGAACGTTGGATTGCAAATGACTGACATGGCTGAAAATGACTTGGCTGAAAATGACTAACACTGCTTACAAGTGAAGAAAGTGTTGAAGCTCTGCTCCTTGGAGCTCCCGCGTCCGCCGCTAAGGGAGATCCGCGTCCGCCGCTCCTAAGGGAGATCCGTGTCCGCCGCTAAGTGAGATCCGCGTCCGCCGCTAAGAGAAATCCGCGTCCGCCGCTAAGATAAATCCGCGTCCGCCGCTAAGGTAGATACTCCAAGAGGGTCCGCCGCTCTTTGTCTGCACATAAAACACATGAACGCGATGAGTAAAACATAAAAGGCAAAGCATAAAACGGAATGATTCATTGAAAGAAACTTGGCTGAAAATAAGTAAGGTTATTAAAGGAACAACACTGCTTACTGTTCAAGGTCAAAATGGTTGAAGTTCCCTTGAAGCTTGAATGAAGAAGCCATCTTGAGTCTGCTGAAAAACAGGGGGACGGAACGCACAGACAGATGCACGAAGTTAGTAAACAGAAACTAAGAGATTGGAAAGCAAAAGAAAACGAAAACAAGGAAATGAAATTCGAAAGTGATGGGATGGATGGGATGGATGGGATGGACGTCCATGATACGCCGGCTGCAGCTAGCAGAGGGAGGAGAACTGTTGACCGTGCTGTTCTACCCAACCCGGACTATGCTACCCAAACCCGCGGAGGATCATCTACTAGACTGCAGCCAAGCGTATCAGAGGGACGGTGGAAGAACGCGAAATGCAGGAACAAATGGAAAACACGGAATGACGAAACGAATGGAAAACGGAAGACGAGGGGAAAGAAGCAAGGGGAAAGGGACTTCCCAGTTGCTGCTGGAGGCGAATGCCGGTCAGGCGAAACGCTGGAGGCTTGGAAGGTGGAAGGCGGAGACTTCCCAGCCCGAAGAACGCCGGAAGGTGGAAATGCCGGTCATATAACCGGAAGCCCGAAGAGCCGGACTCGAATTTCCAAAATCGTTAAGCCCACGAGATGCCAATGATGTCTTGATGAATGCCTTCACGGTGTCTGCTCTCAAGGACGGTTACGGAAGGTCAAGGTCTTTGATTCTGCATGCCAAAGGTACAACAAAAGAAAATGTCAGAATGCGTTTCAGGACATATACAGAAAATAACAGTAAAAGTGTTGTAAAGGCATTCAAAGCAAACGTACCTCTGGAGATCGTAAGGTAGGCAGAGCGGGGGGCGATGTGCGGATGGAAGCGGTAGAAGGTAGGTGTTGGGGGTGGATGGTGTGGTGGCGGATCTCCAGGGTTGACCAGCAGAAAAGTGGATCTTCGTGATTGAATGAAGCCGACGTAGATCTTCGTGATTGAATGAAGCCGACGTGGATCTTCATGAGCAGCAAAGATTGGCTGTTGTAAATCGCGTCCTTGCCAAGGATGTTGTAAATCGAAGTGGATCTTCGGCCTTGAGTCGCAGAGGGTAGGAACACCAAGGCGTTGTGCCTGCCAAAAAACAGCAAAATAAGTTAGATCACGGTCCAACATGACATCCAGGAAACATGACGCTGTAAAAGTCAAGTAAATTAGACGTAACAACGTTTACCTCTGGAGTTTGAGAGGTAGGCCGGGCGGGGGGCGGGGGCGTGGATGGAAGCGGGTTGAACATTAGCGTTGGGGGCGAATGGCGATGGCTGGGCTCCAGAGTCATCCGTATGAAAGTGGTTGATGAGAAATCGTGGACTAGAGTTTCAGAATGCTAAGCCACTGTAAGATAAAGTTCTTGCCAAAAAACGGAGGTGGTTCTGGATGAGAGAGAACCTACGTCACGCCGGTTCGTCACCTGGGTTGGAACCCTGAACACCAGAACCGAGTGGCTGTGCGGCTCGGTTAGCGGCTCTACTTCGCGGCTCTATTTTGAGCCGCTTGAGTTCGCGGCATTTCCCTGTCCGTGGTCTGTGAGGAGGTTCTGTGAGAAACCCTAACTGAAGGGGAGAATGGAGCAGAACACTACAACAGTTCGAAAGCCAGAACTGTAGAGGTGTGGTGGTCACCACCAGTTCTGTCCAAAAGTTTTCAGGATAAGCATATCGCATGGGATGTGTTATCCTCATTTTCAAGACTTCAATATCTCCACTGAGACTGAAACCTATTGATTGCGATTCTAGGAAGCGAAGCTTCTGATTTGTTTTTTTTTCCGAAACTCCTTGCAACTGCCCACAAACCACAAATCCGAAGCGCGTTGCCTGACGGTGATGTTCAGTGCGTACCTCTGGACGAAAACGAGGGAAAGAGGAGGCTCGGAAAGTGTCGCTGTTGACCTCACAAGCACGAACGTCGCCAAGGAACCATTCCCACAGAACTGAAGCAAGTCGTGGGAAGGGAAGCTGCCTTGGGATGGGATGGGACTGGGCTGACGACAAATGAGCGACCCGAGCGAAAAGCATCGCTCAGTTCCTTGCCGAAATCTTATCACTCAGCAGTGACACGCTGGCAGGAGTAAGGGGCTGTGCTCTGCGGGTAGAGCGCCAAATCCGCACATTGCAAGCAGGACTCCGGGTGGCGGCGGGCGACCATCCAGCGACCACCGAGAGGATCTGTTTTATGACAGCACACCACAGTGTCAGCGGTGGACCCCACCCCCACAAGTTGGGATTTGCAGATGATGGATTTTTCGAGCTGTGCCCGAGGAAAGGGCTGATGAACGGAATGCCTCAAAAAGTGCGAATGTGTTTCCCGAAATCGATATTACGCTAATCATCCCCAAGAACATCCCAAAACCGCATGCGTGTTTCTGCTAGTTTGTTTCAGGTTGACCAGTCGAATTTACTAAGGCTGCCCACAAACAGACCTCGAAGTCCCTGAACTGCTTTGCGGCGAGTGCCCAGTCTGGCGAAAAACAAAAGGCGACTCGAAGGACATTATCATTCATTCCGCGCCAACATCCAGGTGCTGTGAACTGTACAGGACTCTGGCTGCCGACCAACTATCGACAGCGACCCAAAAACCATTGGGCAGACAGAGCATGGTGTGGTGTGACTGACAAGGCGACGAGCGAACGAGGCTGTACGACGAACTTTTGGGAGTTCCGCCGCCAATCTCTGCCCTTTGACGTCACAACAAGTGCTTAGGAACCTTCGCACAGAAACTCCGCGACGCTGGATGAAGCTGCCTTGCAACGTGACGATCACGGCGACGTTGTTCAGATTGGACGACGATTCTCGCATGCTACAGTAGTAGGGAGCAATGGTCGTCGATCTAAGTGGCTGGTTAGGGCGCATTTCAGGTGGTTACGAACAAGCAACTTCGCAACAGGCGACTGCTTTCCGATTTTCCGCGACGTTGGGCGAGTTTCTGCGACCTGAACCTCGTAACAACTCAGTTTTAATCACCGAAGGCAAATCGATCGTTTACGATCAACTGTCAGTTGTCGTGCACCGTCTGCTTGCCACCAGACGACTGGTTCCCGTCACCCAGAGATTCGGACTCGCCCTTCCAAATTTTTCAAAACAAACAAATGATGGCCTTTTACCTAAGTAAATGGAGCAATATCAACAGAAAATCGAATTTAACGGCAGCCCCAAACCCCAAACGGTTCGTCGGGCCGTCAGATTCTGGTCGTGGCAGGCCCAGGCAGAAGGTGAACTGGCGCGCCACACTACTGGCTGCGACCTAGCACTGTACATGCGCGACTCATTTAGACAGTGATCAGACTAGTTTGTTTGGAGGCAGGAAAAACGACCTCGTAACAAGTTTGGTCGTGTGCGACGCCCAACTTGTTCGGAAGAGCTTGTTACGAGGCCTGAAACACGCCCTTAGCGTTTATCCAAATATTCGAAAACAGAATGGGGGAAAAAGTCTCTCTATAGCGAGAACCCTTCCTGGAAAGAATCTCCACACCCACATCGCCTTGAAGCCCGGATTCCCCCCAATGTGTTGGGGCGACACAGGTTGAGAAATGTACAACGTGACGTCGCCCTTGCGCGAGAATTGGTTTGTGCGTGGTAACCACTCGTTGACTATTCCGTCATCGTCCATCTCATACGCAAAATTATTAACCCTGCAGCATCCCTCCACACCTTGGGATCTTCTCACTCACCCCCTCACTCACCACTCCCACCCACAAACCCTCTTCCCTCACCTCTACCTATCTTCGTATTGCTATGCGCTATCTCTTGGGGTGAATCAGTTATGAGCCGTCGCGCTTGACGATCATGCGAAACTACTCGTTTTACAACGTCGAAGCGTGGGGCTTTGCTAAGTAGCAGCGTAGGAAACGGTGCATGCGGTTGAGTCTCTTTGTCGATCGGTCTCTTCGAGTCAACTTGCTTGCTCCTGAGTCGATTTGAAGGCACAAGCGTGGGCGACGGTGCGTGCAGTCAGTCCGCAGAATGAAGTTCCCCACGCCAGTCGCCGCCATTCCGCCACACCTTTGCGCATCCATTCCCGCTCTTCCGACCGCGCGCTCTTCAACCACTCACTCCCGCCTGCAGCTGCCGCGTCGCCGTTACGCCTCGTACCGCGTCGCCGTTATCTCCGCATTTAACAGTCACCCATTCCTATCGCCGACACAGCCAGTCTTCCTCCACCGTTGCCATCACCGCCGCCGCCGCCGCTCCCACGTTTTCCGGCGCGTCCGGCGCCCCAACCGCGGGGGCTAGCGCCTTCGCGGCAGTTTCGCCGTTGAGTCCTGGATCGCATGATCGTCAGAGCGGCTCGAATAGCGATGCTTTCGCGCAAATCGTCGCTGCTGCGACCCAATGCGACGAATTGGCTGGAATGCGCGACAACTCGCAATTCGTCGCCAGTCTTCGCGCAGAATGTCGGTGCAGGGGCGAGAAGGGTCGCCCGTGTTACCACGCAGACCGCGGGGGTGATTTCCAGCGTGATCCGCCTTGCGCCTTCCGCCGACGCAAGCCGCGGAGGAAAAGGAGACGACAGCGGGCGGAGCGACGCGAAGAGGCGCAGGGACGGGCAGGCGGAGCAGCGGCGAGGGGAGGGGGGAGCCCGGGCGGAAGATGAGGGTTGTTTGACTGACGAGGAGGAGGAGGGGCATCGGCGGAGGGTGCGTTTGGGGAAGGAGCGGCGGCTGGGGCAGCCGTGGAACTCCGGGATTTCCCCCGCCGGCCAGCGCGCGTTCCGCCGCCTGCTACTCGGCGCGGACGGGGAGCGGGGAAAGGCGGAACGGGTGCTCAGCGCATCTGCAGAAGCGGCGGCGGAGAGGCATCAGGGGAGGGCGGGGAATTTTGGAAGAGTGGATCGGTGATCTGCGTCGTGAGCAGGGGCGGGCGGGCGATGGGCGCGCGGATGGTCCCGGATGCGATGAGGGCGGACGCGCGCTGGAGCTCCGCGGAACGGGCGGGGAATTGACGGAGAAAGGGGAAGGGGAATCGTTGGGGGAGATATACGCGAGTGATATTATGACGATTTTGAAGGGGTTGGGGAACAAGGGGCGGTGGCGGGATGCGCTTGCGGTGTTTCACTGGCGCGCGGGTGCGGAAAGATCGGCGGAAGCTGCGCGTAGGGGGAAGAGGCATGGCGTGAGTGCGGGAACCCGATGGTATCGCTGGTGCTGCGCATACTGAGCCGAAGCGACTGCCCGAATGTGAGTGTAACGAGGGGGGGGGGGCGTCATGATGTGACTGTAACGGAAGGATACGATCGGAAGCGCGCTGGGCGTATAAGCGTTACCCGCTCCCCGTCCCCCTTTCCCCCGTTGATTCCCCCGCTACCCTTTCCCCCACTCCCCTCCACCCCTTCCCCTACCCTTTCCGCGCACTCCCCCCGCGGGAAGCGGACGATCTGTTCCGCGCGCTCGTGGCGGACGGATGCCGCGATGATGAGCGCGCTTTCACTCCTTTTCTGCCCGTCGGCTCCCCCATCCCCGCGCAGGAAGCGGATGATCTGCTGCGTATGCGCGCAAGCGCGGGTGTTTCCACCACTTGGCATCGCTGCTGCAGGAGATCCGGACCGTTGGATTGACCCCGGATGGGTACACGTACATGATCTCGGCGTGTGCTGATGCGATTGTGATTGAGGAGGCGGGGGATGTGCCTTGTGTTGCTGCTGCAGTGACGGCAGGAACAGTGACGGCAACAGCAGCAGCAACGGTAACAGCTGCTGCAACGGCTATAGCCAGGCCAGCAGCAGGAGCAGCAGCGGCAGAAGCAGGAGCAGGATCAGTAGTGACACAGGAGGGAGGGAAGGGAGTGTTGATAACACAGGGTGCCTTACCAGCAGCAGCAGTTTCAGCATCCCTGGCGCCAGAAGCAGCAGCAGCAGCAGCAGCAGCAGCAGCAGCAGCAGCAGCAGCAGCAGCAGCAGCAGCAGCAGCAGCAGCAGCAGCAGCAGCAGCAGCAGCAGCAGCAGCAGCAGCAGCAGCAGCAGCAGCAGCAGCAGCAGCAGCAGCAGCAGCAGCAGCAGCAGCAGCAGCAGCAGCAGCAGCAGCAGCAGCAGCAGCAGCAGCAGCAGCAGCAGCAGCAGCAGCAGCAGCAGCAGCAGCAGCAGCAGCAGCAGCAGCAGCAGCAGCAGCAGCAGCAGCAGCAGCAGCAGCAGAGGATCGCAGCAGTGACAGTAGCGATAGTGACTCTGCCCGACACAGTACCAGCCACTACACGACAAACGACAGCTACAGTTCCAGCAGCGGCGGTATCAGCTACAGTGTCGGCAGCCGCCCAGTACACTCAAGAAGCAAAGCGAATCTTCGTGGAAATGCGGGCGGCAGGGCTGAAACCGACACGTGTCACGTACAACGCACTGCTGGGCTTGTACGGGAAGGTAGGCCACGTGGCACTCGCCCATTCGGTGCTGGATATTTACGGAAAGAACAAGCTCTTTGCTGACGTGGCATGGGTTATGGATGAGCTGGCAAGGAGCGGGATCAAGCCCGACATGGTGATGTGGAACACCCTGATTTGCTGTTACGGCCAGGCGCAGATGCTGCCGAAAGTCGAGGCTACAGTAGACGTAATGCGGAGATCCGGCTGCCGCCCGAATCGGCGCACCTACATCGGTCTGATCGACGCGTTTGGACGGTGCGGATCGGCCGCTGACGCAGCAGCGGTCTTTGAAGCGATGAAGTGTGCCTGCCATGGGGTACCGTGGCTGCCTTGCGACCTTGCGAGCACAGACATACATCATTCATGGAGCTCATTGTCGCCAGAGAGCCTGGGTTTGGGCAGTGAAGTCATGTGCCTGGGTAACAGTCTGTAATACATACAGTTCACAACAGAGAACGTTTCACATCCATGATACGGTACAATCACGTATGGCATCTGTATCAGAAGTTTCTACATGCAAGTTCTCTTTTTATGTCTCCATTCGATCTCTTTCGCTCGCCGTTAATTCTTAATTTATCATTGACTCTGTTTCTTTTGTCATACACTTCCGAGGAGCTGTAATTTAGCCGGGCCTGTGATGTCATCTGCCTCAAAATCAGCAAACCAACTTCGTCTATACTGTCTAACCAAGAATAGCTGGTATCACCTTGTTCATTCCTAAAAACGCAGCGACCCAATAGCGATTAACCCAACCACCCTCACAATTCTTGCTATGCTAGGGTTTTGGTGTACACGCCAGTGTTCCCTTGCGAGCCCTGCTGCACAGCAGTGCTTTCTAGGTATCGCGCGGTTCGCAAGCTAGCAGGGCTGGGTAGTTGACGCTAGATAGACGCAATGGCGTCGAGAATCCTCACCCGAATGTCATTAGCCGCGCCAACGCTCCAGCCGATAGCGCCGTGCTTCCTCCGCCGCTCCCTTCACGCGCTCCCCCCGAGCGGCCTCCGCGGCCGCCCGCTCACACTTCCGCCGAGCTACGCGCGCGGAGGCTCTTCCCGCCTCGCGCATTTTCTTTCTCCGCGCGCGGAGGTTCCCGCGACGTCTGTATCGGCGGAAGCTGCGCCAGCGGCCCTAGCCGCGGATGGGACACGCGCGGAAGGGGAACAGCTGCGGAGCTGTGGGGCTGGGGAGAGCGGGAAGACTCCTAAAGCCGGGACGCTGACGTTTCAGGACGCAATTCAGCGACTCCAGGTGTAACCGGGTTACCAATGGCGTGCCGAATTGTGTTCATAATAACCGCGTTTAGTGTGCATTGAGCGCGATGCCGCCGTTTCACTTAATGCCGCGACGTCTGATCACAGTTTAGTGACGTTTTGACGTGATCGGGTTACCACGCGTGCGAAGAATCCGTGTTTCACAGGAATGCTGTTCCATGCTGCACCAGACTCACGTCCCACGGCCTCCATCCCCCCATGCGCTCTCCCCGGCCTTCTCCACCCCATCGCACGGCAGGAGTACTGGGCGGGCGTGGGGTGCGCGGTGCTACAGCCGAGCAGCACGGAGGTGGGAGCGGGCACCATGAATCCCGCTACGTTCCTGCGCGTGCTGGGCCCCGAGGCGTGGCGAGTAGCGTACGTGGAGCCCTCCATGCGCCCCGACGACAGCCGCTTCGGGGACAACCCCAACCGCGTGCAGCGCCACACGCAGTTCCAGGTGGGTTGGGGTGCTCTCAGGTGCTCTCAGGTGCTTTCAGGTGCTTTCAGGTGCTCTCACCGCCACATGCACATCCCCCACTGCATTTCCCTCCATGCGACCTGACGACAGCCGCTTCGGAGATAACCCTAACCGCGTGCAGCGCCACACGCAGTTCCAGGTGGGGGCACTGTGGTCCCGGCAACGCGCAGGATCCCGGGATGCCTGGTGGCGCTGCCTGGTGGCGCTGGACAAAACCCCTCCTCTCTCCCTCCCCACTGGGCATCGACAGCAAGCAGCACGACGTGCGATTCGTGGAGGACAACTGGGAGTCGCCCGTGCTCGGCGCCTGGAGGCTCTGGGCTCCCCTTCATCCCCCCCCCACCCTTCAACATGCCCTCCCCTGCCCTTTCCCCACTACCTTCAGGTGATCCTCAAGCCCGATCCTGGGAATGCCCAGGAGCTCTATTTAGGCAGCCTGGCGGCGCTGGGCATCGACAGCAAGCAGCACGACGTGCGGTTTGTGGAGGACAACTGGGTGTCGCCCGCGCTCTGAGCTCCCCTTCCCCCCAACCTCTCAGGTCATCCTGAAGCCCGACCCAGGCAATGCACAAGAACTCTACCTGGGAAGTCTAGCAGCGCTGGGCATCGACAGCAAGCAGCACGACGTGCGGTTTGTGGAGGACAACTGGGAGTCGCCCGTGCTCGGCGCCTGGGGGCTGGGATGGGAGGTGTGGCTCGATGGCATGGAGATCACCCAGTTCACCTACTTCCAGCAGGTGCAGTGCGGTTCGGATGGGTGGGGGGGGGGGAGGGAGTGGTTGGAACTTGGAATGGGTGCAGAGGACAAGTAAGAGTCGACCGTGCTCGGTGCAGTACAAGGAGGTGGGAGACCAACCAAGGTGCTTGTTGCAGCAGAGAGGAGGATTGGCTTAGCGACAAGGGTTGGCATAACAGTTCATTCATTGTGCCTCAGTCCACCTTGCTTCCATTTCATCCTTGTGCAATCTTGCTGCTTCAACCAGACCAGCCTCATCTGCTGCAGTCTTTCATGTTGCTGCAATCAACCCCGTGCTTGCATGCATGCTGTGGTGCTGCATGTGGGGATGAAAATCTTCATGGATGAATGTACTATGTACTATGTGTGCATGCGCGTGCACGTATGTGTGCATGCGTGTGCATGTATGTGTGCATGCGTGTGCATGTATGTGTGCATGCGTGTGCATGTATGTGTGCATGCGTGTGCATGTATGTGTGCATGCGTGTGCATGTATGTGTGCATGCGTGTGCATGTATGTGTGCATGCGTGTGCATGTATGTGTGCATGCGTGTGCATGTATGTGTGCATGCGTGTGCATGTATGTGTGCATGCGTGTGCATGTATGTGTGCATGCGTGTGCATGTATGTGTGCATCCGTGTGCATGTATGTGTGCATGCGTGTGCATGTATGTGTGCATGCGTGTGCATGTATGTGTGCATGCGTGTGCATGTATGTGTGCATGCGTGTGCATGTATGTGTGCATGTATGTGTGCATGCGTGTGCATGTATGTGTGCATGCGTGTGCGTGCATGTATGTGTGCATGCGTGTGCATGTATGTGTGCATGCGTGTGCATGTATGTGTGCATGCGTGTGCGTGCATGTATGTGTGCATGCGTGTGCATGTATGTGTGCATGCGTGTGCATGTATGTGTGCATGTATGTGTGCATGTATGTGTGCATGTATGTGTGCATGCCATTGCATTGCATGCAGGCAGGGGGCATGCCGCTATCACCAGTGTCGGTGGAGATCACATACGGCCTGGAGCGCATCATCATGAGCCTGCAGGTGAGCGCAGTGCATGATTATGAGCCTGGTGGTACATGCTATGTGGCAGGCAGTGCCTGATTGCCTGTCACCAGTGTCGCTGGAGCGCATCATCATGAGCCTGCAGGTTCGTGGAACAATCGGAGTGTGGATTGCTTGAAACGTTTTGCGGATGTTCATGGAGAGACTCACGGGGAGCTGTTTCTGGAAAACGAGCGGGGAATGAGCTGCCTGCCTCAAGAAACATGCGCGGCCCGGCCAGTCACACGTGTCCCATCTGTCACTCCCCCTGTCATTCTCCCTCTCTCTCCTTTCCTTGCCAGGGCGTTGACCATTTCAAGCGCATCGCCTATGCGCCAGGTGTGACCTACGGGGAGCTGTTTCTGGAGAACGAGAGGGAGATGAGCTGCTTCAACATGCAGGAGGCGGACACGGAGAGGGTCAAGCAGCGCTTTGATCTCTACGACGCTGAGGCACAGGCGCTTATCAATAAGCAGCTGGCCATCCCCGCGTGAGTAACGGGTGGGGGGGGGGGGGAGAGAGCGGGGGAGGAGGGCTTGGGTGGGTTTGAACATGCGAGGGCGAGAGGGAGATGAGGTGCTTCAACATTCTCGAGGCGGACACGGAGCGCGTGCAGCAGCGCTTGGACCTTTACAAGGCCGAGGCACAGGCTTTGATTGACAAGGAGCTTGCTATCCTCGCGTGAGTGAGCTGGGTACCTTGGGGTTTTGCGTGGGACTCGGTTGGGGCGTAGGGCCGGCATGGGGATGGGCTGCGAGAGAGAGAGGGAGATGAGCTATTTCAACATGCAGGAGGCGGACAAGTAGCGCGTGAAGTAACGCTTCGACCTCTATGACGCCGAGGCACAGGCTCTTATCGATAAGCAGCCGGCCATTCCTGCGTGAGTATGGAAGGGGTGGGTGGAGGCTGGGCTGGGTGGGTTTCGGTTGGGTTGCCCTGCTAAGACAGAGCGCGTGAAGCAGCGCTTAGACTACTATGAGTCTATGAGTACAAGACGTCCCACGCTTTCAACATCCTGGACGCCAGGGGTGCTGTGGGGATGTGTGAGAGAGATGATCTCTTAATGCTGCCCTCTGCCTGCCCATGCGCACCCCCCATCCCCCCCCACCCCACCCCCCTGCAGGTTCGACCACGTCCTTAAGACGTCCCACGCTTTCAACATTCTGGACGCCAGGGGTGCTGTGGGAGTCACTGAGAGAGCCCGCTTTTTCGGCCGTATGAGAAGGTGAAGTGCGGTGCAGTATGGTACGGTGTGTATAAGTGCATACAATCAAGCTATCCGTTTTGACATGACTTTGGAAGACGGATTATAGAATGGCCCACTGTGCTTGAATGCTCTCCCATAATTCCTCCCCACCCCACCCCTTTCTCCTTCCCCCTCCCTCTTTCTTCCCCGCTTACCCTCCCCCGTGTCCTCCTTTTCGTCCCATCAACTCCCAAACCAGCCTGGCGCGTCAGTGCGCCCAATTATGGGTCGACACGCGGGAGAAGCTCGACTTCCCATTGGGCCGGGCGGATGATGACGTGGCACAGCCAACAGGCGACACGTGGCCGTCTGCTGACGTGGCAGCGCAGGACGGTGCGGCGAGTGCGGGCGGCGAGGAGGCGGGGGAGGGCAAGGGGCGGATGCTAGTGGTGGAGATCGGTACAGAGGAGTTGCCTCCTGATGACGTCAGCAGCGCTGTTGCACAGGTGGGTAGGGACCAGCCGTGGATGAATCATGAAGCATCCACTACCCGCCCGCCTGCCGTGGTAGCAGGAAGGTGCCTTTTGAGTCGACTCAAAAGTCAGCAGCGCTGTTGCCCAGGTGGGTGGGGTACCACCCGTGGATGAATCATGAAACAGCCACTACCCGCCCGCCTGCGCTGCTGCTACGCCCACTTGGGTGGCCAGGCCGTCCCTCCTCTGCTCTACTCGACTGCCTGCGAAGATGGAGGGCACACTCAGGGTGGCGGTGCAGGTGGCGGGGCTGGCAGCGTGGTGGGACTGTGGTGGGACTGTGGTGGGACTGTGGTGGGACTGTGGCGGGACTGTGGCGGGACTGTGGCGGGACTGTGGCGGGACTGTGGCGGGACTGTGGTGGGACTGTGGCATCACATGGGTGATGGTTCTTCTCATCCTCATTGTGCTCCCCCCCACCCAACTCTGCCTTTCCCTCCCCTGCCAGCGACTGCTGTACGACTCCAGCAGCCATGAAGACTTAGGCGAGCAGCAGTTAGGAAAATACTTTTAGCAAAAGAAAGACAGTGATACTCTCTGTGTGTTGTACCCTGCTTAAGTGTCAAGAACTCTGGTAATCCGAACTCTCAGATCCGAACTCTGCGTGCGGAGGGCACTCCCAGGAGGGTGGCCGTGCAGGTGTGCCCGCCCATTCTCATCCCTACTGTGCTTCCCGCCCCCCTTCACCCTTCCTCTTCCCCTTCTCTTCTCCACCCTCTGCCAGTTGCAAGCAGCAATCCCGCCGCTGCTTGATCGCCTGCGACTGCCTTACAGCTCAGTGAGAGTGGAGGGCACTCCCAGGAGGATCGCAGTGCAGGTGGTGGGACTGGCAGCGTGGCAGCAGCGCGAGCAGCGGGAGGTGCGGGGGCCGCCGGCTAACAAGGCATTTGACAAGGACGGCAAGCCCACTAAGGTACTCATTAAACCCTGAACCTGAACCCTGGTGGGTGGAATGCTGGTTACGGTGTGGCAGCAGGGCGAGCAGAGGCAGGTACGAGGGCACGCTCCAACAAAACGTTTGAGAAGGACAGGCTGCCCACTAAGGTATTCACTAGGGTGTGGCTACCAGTTTCAGCACTGGCACAAAAAGAACGTGTCGTAATTAAAGCCCGTTGCTCCTTCCCTTCGTCTCTCATTTCCTTCCAGGCGCTAGAGGGCTTCTGCAAGCGTAACGCGGTAACCGCAGAGGCGGTAACCACGCGTGCGGACGACAAGGGCGTGGAGTATGTGTGGGCGAGTGTGAGCGAGGATAGCCGACCCGCGTGGGCCGTGCTGGGGGAGCAGCTGCCTGGTGTGATTGCGGGCATCGCGTTTCCCAAGACCATGCGGTGGAACTCACAGGTGGGTGGAACAGGGCTTGCAGGCGGGCACACTGTGATCACATCACAGGAGTGACACTGTGACAGGACAGCGGAGTACGAGTGGCTGACTGCGCCCCCACCTTTTCCAGATCGGTGCGGCCTGTCACTTGTTCCTTCTATCGAAGAGGTTTGGAGTGGTTCAAAGTATGATTGCTAACTGGCAGCAGTGATTGGCTGGCTGGAGCCATCTCTCTCCCGTATGCCCATGAACGCCCTGAACACTGCCCCATTCCACCTCAACCCACATCACATCACATCACACTGCTCTGCAGGTTGCGTTCAGCCGCCCCATCCGGTGGCTACTCGCTATGCACGGCGACACGGTGGTGCCCTTCGCCTATGCAGGCCTGGCGTCAGGCAACGAGTCGTGGGTGCTGAGGAACGCGCCAGAGACGAGGGTGCAGGTAAGCGGAACATTGAAGATGCTTCCAATGCTGTCAGAGCTGCCATGTGCTTCAACATTCAAATCACTCTGCTGCTCTGCCGGCCTGAACCATCTTTCGTCTCCTTCTCATGTCCCTTCGTATGCTCTACTTCCATCCGCGTCCCCATACATCCATCCCATCCAACCCCCACGAGTGACACTGCACCAGCTGCCATGTGCAGAGGAAGACTCATCGACGTTGCATGTTTTAGGCGCATTCTAAAAAATCTCATCCGTCCCCCTTGTGCCACACCTCACCGCACCACACCGCATCGCACCACACCAGCTACCATCTGCAGAGGAGTATGCCGCAGCCATGGCAGGTGCCGGCATCACCCTCTCTATTCAGGTGCGCCCCACCACTTTCCCATGCATGCATGCACGCATGCTCTCCCCATCCGCGTGCGCGCATCTCCCCACCCACTCTTAGCTCTCTCTGCCGCCCCTCACCCATCACCACCCATTGGGGCCACTCATAATCATCACTCTCTGCTTCCCTTCTCCACTCATCTCCCATCTCATGAACGCCTCGTGTCCTGTCCTGTCACGTGGTAATGAAGTTGTGTCAAAATGTGGCATCTCCCATCTCCCCCAGCTGCTTTGGCATCGCTTTTGAGAATCTGTGTAAAGTGAATGCCTCGTGTCCTGCCTGCCTGTCATCTCCTGCCTGCCTGTCATCTCCTGCCTGCCTGTCATCTCCTGCCTGCCTGTCATCTCCTGCCTGCCTGTCATCTCCTGCCTGCCTGTCATCTCCTGCCTGCCTGTCATCTCCTGCCTGCCTGTCATCTCCTGCCTGCCTGTCATCTCCTGCCTGCCTGTCATCTCCTGCCTGCCTGTCATCTCCTGCCTGCCTGTCATCTCCTGCCTGCCTGTCATCTCCTGCCTGCCTGTCATCTCCTGCCTGCCTGTCATCTCCTGCCTGCCTGTCATCTCCTGCCTGCCTGTCATCCGTCATCTCCCATTCACCATCGCCAGGAGCGTAAAGACGCAATCTGGGCGGCTAGCAATGAGTTGGCAGCGTCAGTGGGAGGAAGCATCCCGGAAGATGCACGAGGCGACCTCCTTGCTGAGGTGGCGAACCTGGTGGAGTCGCCCGTGCCGCTTCTAGGAAGCTTCGACCGCAGCTTCCTTGACCTGCCGCCCGAGGTGCTCGTGATGGTGATGAGGAAGCATCAGAGGTACTTCCCGGTGCAGGACGTAGCTTCTGGGAAGCTTCTTCCGTACTTTGTGGCGGTGCCGAACGGGCGGCTGGACGAAGCTGCAGTGCGGGCCGGCAACGAGTCGGTGTTGCGGTGAGTGGGGTGGGGTTGGAGGGAGGGTAGGGGGTTACAAGGGTGTGCGCTTCTTTTACAGCAGGGATAGTCACTACCTATCATTCTCCCATTTCTTCCCGCCGTTCGTCCATTTCCCATACCCATCCCTCTCCCCATCAATAGAGCACGCTACGAGGGCGCATGCTTCGTCTACAACAGCAACACAGCACATCCACTGGAGTCCTCTTTCCTTACCACTATGTGTGCCCATCGCCATGACTCCCTCCCACCTGGCCCCACCCCCTCCCCACCTCACAGAGCGCGCTATGAGTGTGCACGCTTCTTTTACAACAGCGGCACGGCACATCCACTGGACTCCTTTTCCCCTTCACTGTCTGTGCCCATGGCCATGACCTCCTCCCACCTGCCCCCCTTCCCTCTCCCCCCCACAGGGCACGCTACGAGGACGCGCGATTCTTCTACAACAGCGACACTGCGCATCCACTGGAGTCCTTCCGGGAGAAGCTCAAAGGCATTACCTTCCAGGTACCTTCCTTCCCTTCCCCTCTGTCTGCACCTTCCATGTGCCTTCCTCTCCCTGACTCTGCCTCACTCCGTTCTAGCTCCAGCTCCGTTTCGTGTCTTCCTCCAAACCACACTGCCCGCCACAGTCCATACCGTTTTCCAACTGTGGAATACCACAAATCACAAATGTCCCCTATCACGTGAGATACAGACAGCAGCAGAAAGTAGGAGGCATGCCTTCTTAACCGAGCCATCCCCCTTTTCTTCCTCTTTCCCCCCACCGTTTCCACTATCCCTCTATCCTTGTGTCCCGTATTTTGCTGTCCCCTTCCTCCCGCCAGGCGAAACTGGGGTCAATGTTGGACAAGAGCGAGCGTATAGAGGCCATAACGCCGCTCCTCTGCACCGCTCTGCACCTCTCTCCATCGGACTCCGCCGCGGCGCAGCAGGCAGCGCGGCTGTGCATGGCTGACCTTGGGAGTGCCGTGGTGATGGAGTTCACCGGGCTGGCGGGGATCATGGGGAGACATTACGCCGAGAGAGAGGGATTGGGAGAGGAGGTGAGTGTGAGTGTGAGAACAGTAGGGCTGTGGCTGTGATGCAACCAAGAATCCCGGCTTCATCTGTGCATGGCGGACCTTGGGAGTGCGGTGGTGATGGAGTTCCCAGGGCTGGCGGGGATCATGGGACGGCACTACGCTGAGAGAGAAGGTTTGGGAGTGGAGGTGAGTGCGTGCGTTTTTGAGACGTCTCAAAAACACCCTCACTACACGTGGAGGTGAGTGCGTGCGTTTTTGAGACGTCTCAAAAACACCCTCACTACACGTGGAGGTGAGTGCGTGCGTTTTTGAGACGTCTCAAAAACACCCTCACTACACGTGGAGGTGAGTGCGTGCGGGGAGAAAGGAGTGAGGCATAGCATGCAGTATAGACAAGTGCAGACCTTGGGAGTGCCGTGGTGATGGATTTTACTGGACTGGCGGGGATTATGGGGCGGCACTACACAGAAAGAAAAGTGCTGGGAGAGGAGGTGAGTGTGTGGGAAGGTAAGGGGGAGGGTTAGAAGGCAATCTTTCAGACGTCTCAAAAGCAGGCAGTATGTGAAGACCTTGCGACTGCCATGATGATGGAGTTTACTGGGCTACGGTGTTTGAGTGTGCGCTGCTGCGATGCGATCAGCATGGAGTCATCGCATGCCAACCCCCTCTCTTCCTTTCCTTTCCTCTTCGCCTTTTCTCCTCTCCAACCCCCACCCACACCCTCACTCCCAGGTGAGCAGGGCCATATTCGAGTGTGTGCTGCCGCGCTCAGCAGGTGATCAGCTGCCCACCACAGCCCCTGGCCTCGTGCTCTCGCTCGCCACCAGGTATGCCTCTCACTCCCCTCCCATCTCTGGCTTCATTTGAGACATCTCAAAGCGCGGTCAGCAGGCGATCAGCTGCCCACCACAGCCCCTGGCCTCGTGCTCTCACTCGCCACCAGGTCAGTTTGGTTCGGTTCTTCATCGTCAACTGTGTGACCCATGTCAACTGTGTGACCCATGTCAACTGTGTGACCATGTCAACTGTGTGACCCATGTCAACTGTGTGACCCATGTCAATGTCAACTGTGTGACCCATGTCAACTGTGTGACCCATGTCAACTGTGTGACCCATGTCAACTGTGTGACCCATGTCAACTGGCCGCGTGTAATGCCTCCCTCACCACTCTCAACACCTCTCCACCATCCGCAACACCCACCTCGTCTCACACCCTGCTCCACTGCATGCTCCCCGCCCCATCAGGCTCGACAGTCTCGTGGGCCTCTTTGCAATCGGCTGTGAGCCCTCCGCCTCGGCTGACCCCTTCGGTCTCCGCCGCTCCGCATACGGCCTTGTGAGCTGCCACCTCCCCAACCCACCCCTGCCCCAATCCCTGCCCCAACCCGACTCCGCCCCTGCACTCCCCCGCCCCTGCACTCCCCCGCCCCTGCACTCCCCCGCCCCTGCACTCCCCCGCCCCTGCACTCCCCCGCCCCTGCACTCCCCCGCCCCTGCACTGCCCTGCTAGTTTGTCTTGCCATGCTCCATCATGTGGCACTTGCGCTCGCCCTTGGGCTGTTTCACCTCCTTTCATTCGCCTGCCTTCACCACGTTGCATCCATGCAAACTGCCCGGTGGAGGCACTGGTAGCGAGCAACACTGACTGACCTGCACCTCTCGACCTAACCGCATTTCACCCCTTTTCACCTCCTCTCACCACGTTGCATGCTGGCTGGCAGGTGGAAGCCCTGGTGGCGAGCAACACGGATCTGCACCTCTCCACGGCCCTGCAGGCAGCAGCGTCCGTGCAGCCTGTGGAAGTCACCCCTGCGACACTTGAGCAGGTGAGCTGGTACCTGTGAGTCGGCAATGGCCATTCAAAGCACAGGCCTGCACCTCTCCACGGCCCTGTGCAGGCAGCTGCTTCCGTGCAGCCTGTGGAGGTCACCCCCGCCACACTGGAGCAGGTGAGTTGGTTGCGAGCAAGTGTGCATTCCCATGTGCACTCAGCGCACCATCCCTGCAGACAGCAGCGTCCGTGCAGCCTGTTGAGGTCACCCCTGCCACTCTGGAGCAGGTGAGTTGGTGGTTGAGAATGGGTCATGCTCATCAGCATACAGTAGCATAGCATCCCTGCAGGTAGCAGCGTCCGTGCAGCCAGTTGAAGTCACTGCCGCTACACTGGAGCAGGTGAGGAGGTGGCTAAGAATTGGTCACGCCCGCTATCTCTCCATGGACCAGCTTTGGCCTTTACAGTACGCCGCCTGGAGCAGTTCCTGGTGGACCGCGGGGCAGCAGTGGAGGCTATAGTAGGGGCGCCTCAAACTCCCTTCCAAGCTCAGACCTTGTTGTTCCCCCTCATCCCCCACACAAACGGCACCACCCTTTGTGATGCAGGTGGAGTCCTTCATAGTGCGCCGCCTGGAGCAGTTCCTGGTGGACCGCGGGGCGGCCGTGGAGGCGGTGCGCAGCGTGCTGGAGGAGAGAGGCTCTGTGCCCGCCCTCGCTGCTCGATCCGTGGCGGAGGTACGTTTTGAAGCGACTCAGAGGTGAGGTAGTGTGTGAGGAGGCAGTGGAGGCGGTGCGCAGTGTGCTGGAGGAGCGGGGGTCCGTGCCTGCCCTGGCTGCACGATCCGTGGCGGAGGAGCGGGGGTCTGGATCTGTCACTCGGGCTTTTCGCAATGCACACACGCGCAGAGCAAGTGCATGTACACTAGGAATCTTTAACTGGTCGCCTGGAAAGAGTCAATCTGAATCCCACATCTCAAGGCAGCGATGTGCCATGCGTGTCCAATTTCTCTCTCTTCTGCTCCCTGCTTTTGACTCACTATGCGCGTAACACGCCATTGGCTTGCTGCCTGCCCTGATACCAGATGGAGGAGCTGCAGGCGTCTGGGCAGCTTGAAAAGATCGTGGCAGCGTATGCGCGGCCAACGAGGATCGTGCGCGGGAAGGAGGTGGATCTGGAATGGCAGGTGAGATGGTCTTGTAAAGTAGTTGTAAAGTAGATGGTCTTGGTGTAGCCAAGTTGTTTGGGAGTGCTGTGCATGCAGAAAGAAGTTGAGCATGACATCCAGTGGGAGCTGTGTGTGGGCTGGCAGGCATGCATGCATGCATGTGTAGCACATTGGAAGTTAATGGAGAGTGGTGTGCACGCACCATGATGCCAAGCCATCTCTATTGTGTGCGGGGGTGTGTGTGTGTGTGTGTGTGTGTGTGCATGGGCCGTGAGGGCAGGTGAGGGAGGAGCTATTTGAGTCGGATGCGGAGAGGACTCTGTGGGACGCCTTCAAGCACGTGGATGCTGAGGTCTCCAGTGGTGCGTGCTTACTGTCCCTGCGCACATGCCACATTCATGCCACATGTCATATTTCTACCACATATTACATGTCACATCCGTTTGCATCCACATCACATTCATCCACAGACTAGCGTGTCCCTGATTTGATCCAGTTGTTGCTGTTCTCACCACAGCGTGCCCACCCGCCTTTTTTTCAAAGTCAATAATATTTCCATTCTCATGTTAATTGGTTAACCCAGATACTCGTTCTCTGCCCCCTGTTCCAACACGGCATGCATGCAGACATGAGCGTCAAGGCATTCGCCGATGCATCCATGGCTCTCATCGACCCGCTGGAAGGCTTCTTTGCAAACGTGTTCGTCATGGCGGTAAGCCAACCAACCAATTAGCCACGTGGCATCATATCTTTCTTCACTGCCACAGCCCACACTTCAAGCCCCACAATGCCCATCTCACACCCCTCACCCAGTTGCATGATCCTCTCCATTATGCTTGGGTTTCTGATGCTGAATTGTGTCTGTCACGTTCTGTAAGCTGGGTGTGGCCCTGCTGTGTGGTTTTGAGACAGCCTGAATCTTGTCTGCGTTTCATGGTTTTGACACGCTTCGGACCTCGCCTGGCTGGGTGTGTGGGACGGGGGGTGCAGGAGGAGGAGCAGCTGCGCAAGAACCGCCTGGCGCTGCTCAGCAGGATTGCGAGACTGCCAGAAGGCATTGCTGACCTCACTGTGCTGCCTGGGTTCTAGAGCATGCAAGATGGCATACAGACTGCCATGCAGCCTGGCGTCCAGCAGGCTTGTTGGCTGGCAAGTTCAGTTGACTTTTTTGGATGGCATGTGACACACTTCGCCGTGGAGATATTTTTAGTGCTATGTGGCTTGCTACATTGGCAAAGTTCTTCCTTGGTATCAATACTATAGCTGCTTCTGTATATGGCTTCTAGAACCAATTCCTTCCTGCTTCCATACATAAAGTTGCAGGCTCAGTGAAGAGTACCCAATCCTACCACTGATGACAGAGACAAGAGTCTCCTGTAACTCCCACGGCAGGGGGATGTAGGTTATCTTCCCTTTTCTATTCATCCCGGAACATTGCACGACCAGCACGGCCTGTCAGGCTGCGATAAACCCTATTGATAACAACACATGGAAACGCATTGGAAGGGGAAAAAAAACAGGTCAGCGCCACCCGGCGCTGCACATTCACTAAGAAAAATCTTGATATTTTCTTCGGAAAACGAGATCACTCGGGCTTGAAGTCGGCGAGCACGGGGTGCGACTCCCAGTTGGGGTCATCAGCCGCGAGCAGGTCGATGTACTTCTGCATCGCCTCCTCCGCCGACATGCCCTTGATCGCGTTCCACGCGTCCCACTTCTGCCGCGCCTCGAATTGAATGAACAGCGGCTGCCACGCGCAAGCACAAGTGAAACGTCGCGAACCGGTTATGTATCGGGTAAGGTCCGTAACGTGGGTTACGTTAAGACATGATAAGACATGGGTAGGTAAGAGGGGGGTCAGAAGGTGTGTTAATGAAGCCACTCGTACAGTCGATAGGACGGAGCTATTCTCACTTGAAATAACGATGAACAAAGAGTTTCCTCCGAAAGAACGACGTACCTGGGATCCCTTCACGTCGCCCTCAGTGGCCTGCTTGAAGTAGGAGTAGTACTTGAGCTTCTCCTCGGTGGTCGCCTTGGGATTCGGCGGGCCATTGCGGATCAAGTACGCGGCCTTCTTGAATCTAATCTCGAGCTCCGACATGGCGCCGAACCTAAACAAGGGGTCTCGGGACGGATCTCGGCCTCGAATGCACTCGGCCTCGAATGCAAGGATTCGTTAGAAAGGAATCGAGATCGAACCTGACTGGAGGGACAGAAGAATCCGAGCAAATATGGACCTTCACTGAACTGTAAGGGAGATTTGCAGGAGAAGGGCATGGAAGGGGTATTAGTGGAGGTGAAAGGGGGAGAGGGGGGAGAAGGGGGGAAGAGTGATCCCCAGGCGTCACTGGCAACTCAATTTGACGGGCCGTCAAATCGCGACAGGCCTTGACGAATCGTGATTCTGACTGACCAGGCGTCAGGTGACCATGAAACTGTCGCCTGTTTTCGCGAACTGTCGTCGTTGTTCCAGTTACGAGATTTCTGACAAACGAATCCCGATAAATTTCGGGATTGCCGTCAGTCACAAGATTCGCCATAGTGATTCAATGGAGCCCTTTATAGTTCCGTTCCGCATTCATAATCAGATTCGTGATCGTTTGGAATTTACAGTACCAAAGCTGTTGAGTTTCAAAGCTCAACCTTGACAGCAATTATTACCGTAATGACCTTGACAGCAATTATTAATTACCTCACAGCGAATTCCAACAACTCCATCAGATTGGGCTGTTCATCACCTGAAGCAGCTGCAACTAATCCTACAGTTGACCCTAAGGCAAGAAGGGGCTGATTTATTACTGATAGGCAGCCCACAAGGCCCGTACCGTACATCATTGCCTTGCTATTCTACTTACTGTACCTTGTTACCTAAAGAGGACCCGCTAGCCCCCGCCCGTCTGTAGCAGCGAATGTACATGCACCTCACTGACACACTTGGGGACCTAAAGAACCTCAACAGACTGAGTGACGACAGGCAGTGCAGCCCTGTCAGCAGAGGCACCTCACAAGCCACCAGCTGGTCACCTGCGGATGTACATACGCCTGACTGATTTCAGAAAGAACTCCCAGGACTCGTCGCCCAGCAGAATCATGTCGCCCTCGCGGTCCTGGTACACCACAGAGGACCCCTCTGTCACCGACAGCAGCGCCTCCCTCAGCTCCTGCGTCGACTGGAACCGACTCAGATCCACCGACACCCCAAACGGAGACCCCTCCACAAAGCACTTCACCCGCAAGCTCTCCTCTCCTCCAGCTCCTCCGCCTCCCCCGCCTCCCCCTCCCCCTGCCGCCCCACCCCGTGCACCCGCTCCCCCTGCGTTTTCTGCCATGCTCCCTGCTCCCAACCCTGCTGCGTCCGCTGATCCTGTCAGCCCCCCCAGTCCGCCTCCGCCTCCCCCTGCGCCTTCCCCCACGCCCCCCGTCATGCCCGCGCCTGCAGCGCCGGGGGATGAGTTACCTGAGCGCTCAGGGCCCAGGCTGGAGGGGGGCGAGCCCCCTCGTCCCCCCAAACCACCACCGCCACCAGCGCCACCGCCTCCTGCTGTGCCTGCACCGCCTGCTGCTGCTCCACCTGCCACACCCCCTGCTGCTCCCATGAACCCTGCCCGTGACTGCTGCTGCACCTGTGGCATCTGCTGGTTTTGCTGGTTCTGCTGCTGGTGCTGGTAAAAGGGAGAGCCGCCAGAGGCCTCTCTACCAGCATCCCCAAGCCCACTCATTCGCGCACCCATGAACCCCCCCAGCCCTCCACCACCTCCCCCGAAACTCCCCCCGCCACCCCCGCCAGCAGCCGCGCTGCCAGCAGCAGCAAGAGACGCCATGCGCTTCCCCCCACCCATTCCGCCCATGCCTGACGCCATAGACGCGCCATCGTCCGCGCCCCCGTCCCCCACGTCCCCCCGACTCCCCGACGGCTCTGCTGAATCCTCTGGCGCTTCCCGCTTCCTCCCCGCCAGGCCCCCCGCCCCTCCGTACCCTCCTGGACGGGTGCCACCCAGGGGAGGTAGCGACTGCGGCATGTGGAAGAGGGGCGGGTGCAGGGAGGGGGGAGGCTGGGAGGGATTTCCCTGATCCCATGGTGCCTCTTGCCCGTGACCGTCTGAGTTCATTCCCCCCATCCCCCCCATTCCCCCCCCTGCTCCCATTGGCGCTCCTGCCCCCCCTGTTCCAGGCGCTACCAGCAGCGACGGCGCACCCATCCCCCCCGCGCCGCCCGCACCGCCGTCCCCATGTGGCGCCGCCCCACCATGCGCATCACCGGCTTTGTCTGTAGCGGAGGAGGAGTTGCGCATGGCTTGCTGCTGCGCGAGCAGGGCGGCAATGGACGACACTATCTGGTCTCTTGACAGCCCCGCAGCCAGTCCCTTGGCCACTGCAGCATTTACCAGCTGCTCCTGCACAGACCCCTTCACCACTCCTGGGACTATCTCGCTCACTGCCCCGTCGCCCTCCATCGCACCCCCCCCTTGCCCCTGCCCCTGTTGTAACGTTTGCTCCTCCTCGTCCTCCTCTTCCTCTTCCAGCTCCTCCTCTTTCTGCTCCTGATGCTGCAGCGGCGCCTGTTGCTGCTGCTGCTGCTGCTGCTGCTGCATCTGCCGTTGAATTTGCTGGATATGGGACAGGAGCACGGCGGGGGTCAGCCCACCCTGCCCTGTCACTGACGTCAGCAGTGACGCCAGCTGCGCCACGCCTGACGGGCCTAGCTGTGCTAGCAGCGACGCAGGAAGCTTCGCTGCTGTCAGCGCGGCGAGACTGCTCGCACCCACCTTCCCCTGCTCCCCCCCTCCCCCGCCCCCGCCCCCGCCCCCGCCTACACTCCCCACCTCCCCATCCATACTATCCTCCCCCTCGTCCCGCCCATACCCTCCCCCGTCCGCTCTCCGCTGCCCACCCCCCGCAAACCCCCCATACCCCCCGCCCGCCTGGCGGGGCGGGGAGGGCCTCCGCCAGGACCGCCCCTGCAGCCCCATGGGGTCGTCCTGCGCCCCATCCGCGGATCCCAGCGCGGCTCCCGCGCCCCCGCTGGATGCAGCGGCGGAGGGCGCGAAGCCCTGCGCTGGGCGGCGGCGGAAGCCTATGAAGAGGTCCCCCGCGGTGCCCCTGTGGAAATAGACTATGTCGCCCGGAACCAGTAGCTTTTCCTTGACGAAGCGGCTCCACCCCTTGGTCAGCACGTAGCTCTGACTGCTGTTCCAGTACGAATACCTGCGGGGGCGGAGGGGGATGGAGGAGCGGGGAAAAGAAGGTGGGGGGTGGTTGTGGAGGGATGGGGGAAAGCGGTTTGGCATGGTAAGCAGTGGCACGAGAGTAGGGAAGTGGGAAGGTGGGAGAAGAGAGCGAAGATGCGATGAAGGGTGCGTGAGAAGCGATGGAGGGAGCATACTGGAAGTGAGGGGTACAGGGGGAACAGAGAGCACGCGAGTTTCAGGCGCGGCTATGACTGTGGCTGCAGGGCGCACCAGAAGCGCCAGTGATTGGCCACCTCGTTCTCAAAGGAGAGCGTCATGGCGGGAGTGGGCAGGTTGGGGTCGCGACGTGTCTTGAGTCGCATAAAACGCACACCTTCTGAGTAGTCGACTCAAGACTCACCGGAAGCGCCAGTGTTTCCCAGCTTCATCCTCGAAGGACAGCGTCATAGCGGGCGTGGGCAGGTTGGGGTCGAGGGGGAAGCAGCGCTCCGCGTGCTGCTTGGGAATCACCAGCCGGTTCAGCTTCCCCACGTCGCTGGGCGTCACCGCCTTCTCAAACAGATGCTCCTTCCCCGCCATGCTCACTCCCCCCCCGCCCCCGCCACCTCCGCCCATCGCTCCGCCCATGCCTCCCCCCATTGCGCCTCCGCCGGCTGCCCCCATCACCTGGGAAGCCCCTCCGCCGTACCCGCCTGGTCCCGCTCCTCCCCCGGTTCCCCCGCCTCCCCCATGGTACCCCCCTCCGCCTGACTGCGCCGCGTCCGCAGCGGGGAACCCCAGCTCCCGCCCGCCGCTCATCCCCGCACCTGCGGGAGCGCCCGCGCTCCCAACGGTGCGGAGGGGCGTCCCCGCGCCGTCCTGTGCGGGGCGACCTGGGGCGAGCGGCGCAGAGGGGGAGGAACCAGCGAGGAAACCGGAGGACGCGGGGTGGAGATGCGCGGATGGCGGAAGCGAGAGCGGGGAATGCCCCGGGTAAGGGGGGTCGTGGGGATGCGCCTGCCCCTGCGCCGGCAGCATCAGCGCACCCTGCCCCTGCCCGTGCTGCGCGGAGGGCGCGGGGAGCGCGAGCGCGTGCGCGTTGGTCTGCGCAGGTGGAGACGTGGCGGCGTCCGCGAGGTTCGCATTGGCGAGCTCCTCGTCGAACGTGTGCTTGCGGAGCATGTCGACCAGCTGCGCGCGGGGGAGAGGAAAGCGGAGAGTGGGAGGGGAGAGTGGGGGAAGTTTGAGACGTCTCATAACTCCTCGTCGAGCGTGTGCTTGCGCAGCATGTCCACCAGCGGCGCGCGGGGAAGCGGAGTGTGGGTGGGGGGAGTGTGTGTGGGGGGGAGGGGAAAAAAGGGGGAGGGGAGGGGAGAGGGGAAGTGGGAGACCAGATATGCACGGGTGGGGAAGCGATGGTACAGGAGGAGTGGGACGGGGGCGGGAACATGCGATTGAGGGTGAAAGGAAACGGGGAATGAAACGGGTGTGACGCGAGGAACGAGGGCGGAAAGTGGGATTTCCGCATAGAGGAGAGCAGAAGAAATACAGGCGCGTGGCGGAGGATGCAGGGAGCGGTGGTGAGCGGAGGAGATATCGGGGGTTGGAGAGTGTAGAAGAGGTGCGCGTGACGCGCCGCACCTTCTCTTTGGGTTGCGACATGATGAAGCAGATCTCAGGGTGCGACTCGGGCATGGGGCGAAAGTTCGTCATCGCGTCTCTCCCGCGGAACTTGAGCGCCGCGCGGTCGTACGCGCGCGCCGCGTCCTCCTCGCCGTTGAACGTGCCGAGCCACACGCGGCTGTGCTTCTCGTAGATCTGCGCGCCCCACCGCCCGTTGGGCTGCGGCACCACCCCGCGGTACTGCGACGACAGCATGCGGCTCGCCTCTTTCTCCACGCCCTCTTCCGAATCCTCGTCCTCTCCGCCATCCGCCCCTTCTGCGCCCATCCCGTCCGACCCTTCCCCCCCCGCCCCCTCGTTCCCTGGTCTCTCGTCTGCGAACGAGTCGGTTCCGCGCCCCGCTGCCGCTTCTCCGCCCGTTTGCACCCTTGCGGCCTGCGCGGGGCTGCTGTTCTCCGCCGCTGCGGACGCTATATCCTGCGCGCCAGCGGTGGACGGCACCTGGTGGCTTGAGCCTAACCCTTGCCCCTGCTCTTGCCCTTGCCCATGCGCGTGCCCCTGTGCATGTTGGTGTTCGTGATCGCTGGTTCGCTGTTCACGCTCGTTGCTGTATCCCGCCAGTACGATCTTCTCCGCCTTCTCTTCCTCCGCGTGTGCCACTGCTCCCGCTACTGGTGCGGTGTTCGCCTGCGCAACTGGCATACTGGAATTTCCGCCCGTTCCGCCCTCCGCTCCTTCCCCTTCGCCTTCCCCTGGCCTTTTGACAAAGCCCCCATTCGCGTCCCCCTCTGCCGGAAGCGCTGTTTCCTCCCCGCCCTCCTGTCCTGTCTGCTCCGCTCTGCCTGCCTCCTTATCTCCGCCACGCGCGTCATTCGCCCCTTCGCCGGATGTCCCCGCTTTCTCCCCACCATCAGCCCCCTCATGGTCCTTCCGGCCAGTGTCCGCTATAGCATGCCCCGTTTGCGATACATTTCCCGTGTCTCCAGCGTTATCCCCTGCGCCATCTGCTCTCAACTCTCTACTGCCCTGTTCCGCCTGCTCCCCCTGGGCTTCTCTTTGAGGTTCTCCCGCCTGTAGGGCGGGAGAATCCAGCACACTCCCCCCTTCCCCGCCAGGCGCAGCTACGGAGGCGGAAGCGGGAGCTACCGCGGGGGAACTGGGCGCAACTGCGGGGGACTTGGGCAGCGCCCGCGCGGCGGCGAGGGCCTGCAGGTGCTGCAGGCGCTGTCCCACGCGGGAGACCAAGTCGTCCGTCAATTCCATTCTCCCGCCCCCGCTGCCGCTACTGTCCTCATCGCGTAGCGATGCCAGAGCCGCCTTTAAAAGATCCTTGTCAAACCCCGCCGGTAAACTGTCCATTATTGACTAGCGTGGCTCGATCGGATCGAGTTTTAAGGATACGCAGTATACTAATCCTAATTGATTGCGGAAAGCGTGATGGTTCAACCCAAGATGTGATGACAACGAGAAAATACCTCCTCGCAGGCCTTAGTCCGAATCTGAAGGAGCGGGAGGCGGCAAGAAGAGGGGAGAAGGGTATGGTGGCAGAGAGAGAAGGAAGGCACGAGTTAGAGAGATTCGGAAAGAACGACATAACGGCAACAGCAGGACGAGGACTGGAAAATAGGACCAGGCGTCGACAAATAAGCCCGAATGACAGCCCGTAATGGCGGGAACGATGGCAGGCGATGCTAACACAAAATTATTAAGCTACGAACGACAGGCTAAAGTAATTCGCTAACACACGCGGCAGTCGTGAAGGTAAGTGCAGTTGAAAGGCATGGAAATAAATTCATCGGCAAATGAATTTCGAAAAGCGCAACTAACGACATTATGGATGCACTAAGTCGGCAGATCACTAACGAAACGGTGAATAGACTAACGGCAGTTTACGCGGGAAAAAAATGGATGGCATGTCATTCAAGTGCCTAACCTCGTGCTTCAACATGGCAGCTGGGCTCCAAGCAGCAGCAGAATCGAGAGCCAGCAATCGATCGTTGTGACGAAGGTAGGTCACCTGGAACAGCAGGTAGGGTTTCGAGCGCATGTGAAATAGGAGCTGGGCTGGGAGCCTGGGAGGCAAAGGCACCTGCCACCTGACTCCTGAGAGAAGACGCAGCAACAGACGCCCAACATGACGCCTGCTCGCTCCGCCTGGCTGCCTGGATTCTGGTTCACTTCACTGCGGATACGCGGGTGAGTGGGCTTGATGCAAGGCAGGGCGGGCAGGGGTTTGGCGCGCCAGAGCGGAGAAAGGGGGCGGACGCGGCACAGTGATCAAGTCGAAGATCAGGTTTGCGCCTCAGGAATCACTCTTGCGACGAGATTCAACGCAGTATTGTGTGTTACTGAGGTTTCTTGCGTGGTGGAATGTGGTGTCAAGTCAATCGTGGGCGTCCAACCTGGATGCGCAAGAGCAGCTCTGCACACTCTGCACCAGGTGTGCTGTAACTGTCCGCCAGGGCGGAGCCTTCCCCCGAACCGAACCCTATCCCTTGGTTTTCCCACTGCTTGGTCAGCCACGTATGTCGCCTGACAAGCAACAGTCGCGCCCGTTTGGGCCCAAGCAGAGCCCGTGATAGGTCAGCAACCGCGGCTCAGCTATCAAGTGATAGGATTGACGCTGGTGCCACGTCAGTTTTGCTGGCACACATTCCAATTTGTGAGTTCGAAATTCAAACCACATCTGCCGTACTCCAATATTGTCTCTCCAGCGTCAGTATAATACTGTGAATCTAGTTCTGGTGTACCCAGATTGTATAAATCTCCTGACAAGGTGTTGGGCGCCACCACTTCCATCATAATAAACCAATAGACAGCACATTGTTAAAGCAAGAGTATACATTTGAAAGTACTGTTGCTTTGGAACAGTACCCTCCCTCAGAGACAACCCCAACGAAAACGATGTGGGGTTCGCGAACAGACTGGGCGAAAATTTGGAAGGGAGATGCGACCACGAGAACCCCTCCCGTCACCCAACTCCAGAAGTTCCTCACGAAGACCAAGTATAAGCGACTAATTCCTACCATAGACACTAACGTCCCTAATTTTAGAGACGAGGATTCAGCAAACACAATACATCTTCGAGGATAGACTACTTTACAGTCTTCGTAAGCGAAGTCTCAACCGCCAGCGCATCCCATCCGGTGCCCGCCGGGAGCATTCTAGCCGTATCCGCAGCGCTCGACACCCTCTCAGCGCGTCACCCGCATCGCGCCAAATACCCCGTTGCGGCCCTCATCTCTTAGCGCGACACCGCGCGCCGTGCAACCGCATCGCGCCAAATACCTCGCTGCGCCCCTCATCGCATTGCGCCGCACCTCTTAGCGCCGCACCTCTTAGCGCCGCACCGCTTAGCGCCTCTCTGCGTAGCGCCTCACCCACTGCGATTCCTCTCAAGCTAGGTCGGCAGCGATTGCTTCCCGTGTAACCCACAGCTCGCCTCGCCGCTTAGCACGTCACCGGCTTCACGCTCACCCTCTGCGCGCCTCACATGCTGCTCGCATCCCAGTGCGAATTTCGAATGCACCTCATATGCTGCGCCCCGCAAAACAAACTACGTCACGCGCAACTCGCCGCCCTTTCGTCTCACCTTTGCCGCCAACGCGCTCAGCCATTCGTGGAGCAGGGTAAATCGCCACCGTTGAATGGGCGCGCCGCCATGTTTGCAAGTAGCCCGTCGTCCAACCTCCATCCCCGTTCCCATCATCTCCCCTCCCTCTTCCCTCATTTCCCCCACTCACAATTCCCCCACTTCCTCCTCATTTCCGCATCTCTCCCTCTCATTTTCCCCCCTTCCTCCTCTCTTTTCCCCCCGCCTCCCTCGCTATTTTTCTCACTGCTCCTCCACACTGGCCCCCACTACTCCCACTCATTTCCCCCCTTTATCCATCTCATATTGCCCAAACACTCCCCCCCCCCCCCCCCCCCCCCCCCCCCGTCTCCCCCCGTCTCCCCCTCGTTGGCCCCCTTTCTTCCTCACATCTTCTCCCATGTTCCATTTTCCCCACTGGTCCCCCTCCCTTCTCCCTCTTCTCCCTCTCCTTTCCTTCCCTTCTCCCCCAACTCCCCCCCTTTTTCCCTCTCATTTCCCCTACTGCCCCCCCCCCCCCCCCCCCATTGCGCCGCTTCTCCCCCACTTTCCCCCCCCAGTTCCGCTTAGCATGTCACCGGCTTCGCGCGTCATCAGCTGAACGCATGCCCCTAAACTCATCTCACGCGCTGTGGACCGCGATCCTCGCACGCCGTCTCGCCATTTCCCCACTTCTCCCTATCACTTCCCCCAGTGCTCACCGGGGTGCACAAGGTGAGTCTCGCCATTTCCCCACTTTCTCCACCTGCTTCTTCTCCTATCCGCCCCCGCTTGCCCTCCTTTTGCCCCCTGCTTCCCCCCTTTTCCTCCATGGCTTCCCCTCCTTTCACCTCTTGCTTCCGCCCTTTCCCCCCCTACATCCCCTCCTTGGATTCCCTTGCTTGTCCTCCTCTCCCCTCCTGCTTCCCCTCCATTATCCCCCCTGCTTCACCTCCTTTCCGCCCCCACTTCACCTCCTTTCCCCCTCTGCTTCCCCCCTTTTCCCTCACGGCTTTCCTTCCTTCCCCCCCCTGCCTCCCCCACGTTTCTCCCTGCAGGCCCCACGTTTCTCCCCTGCAGGCCCCACGTTTCTCCCCTGCAGGCCCCACGTTTCTCCCCTGCAGGCCCCACGTTTCTCCCCTGCAGGCCCCACGTTTCTCCCCTGCAGGCCCCACGTTTCTCCCCTGCAGGCCGCACGTTTCTCCCCTGCAGGCCCCACGTTTCTCCCCTGCAGGCCCCACGTTTCTCCCCTGCAGGCCCCACGTTTCTCCCCTACAGGCCCCCTGTTTCCCCCATGCCAGACCCATTTCTCCCCCCTGATAGCTCCAAGATCCCTCCGTGAGAGCCCCATGGTTCCTTCATGCTATCCTCATGTTTCCAAGGCTGGGTGGTGAGTGCATCGCTGCTCGCGGCAGCATGTGGAGTGCTCACCAGCAAATGTCCCTCTCAGCCCGCACACTCTCACTCACCAACGCTTGTCACATCCTCTTTTTCCTCCCTCCAGAAGCAACCTTCCTGAATGCTCGCTACACTCCTCTCACTTCCGTGCCTGCATGCTCGCCCCGTTTTCCCCCCGTGCTAACATCAGGAGGCTCCCAAAGCTATCCCCATGTCTCCCCCATGCACGCCCCATGTTTCCCCCATGCACGCCCCATGTTTCCCCCATGCAGGCCCCATGTTACCCCCATGCACGGCCCATGTTTCCCCCATGCACGCCCCATGTATCCCCCATGCACGCCCCATGTTTCCCCCATGCACGCCCCATGTTTCCCCCATGCACGCCCCATGTTTCCCCCATGCACGCCCCATGTTTCCCCCATGCACGCCCCATGTTCCCCCCCCCACCCCGCAGTCCCCATGTTTCCCCCCTGCACGCCCCATGTTTCCCCCCTGCACTCCCCATGTTTCCCCAGAGCGCACACGGACATATTTCCCCGTCGATAGCCCCATATTCCCCCCCTGCTAGCCCAATGTTTTCGCTTTTACCACTCGCCCCCCTGCTCCCTCGATATTTCCCCAGCTGCTCCTCCACACATCCCCCTACTACTCCCTTTCATTTCCCCATTTAGGCATCTCATCCCCACCCCGTCTCCCCCCCATTGGTCCCCCTTCTTCCCCTCATCTCCTCCCTCGCTCTATTTCCCCCACTGCTCCCCCTCACTTCACCCTCTTCTCCCTCTCATTTCCCTTACTGCTCCCCCTCATTTCCACCGGCTCCCCCCCACTTCTCCCCCTCAGTTCTGCGGGCTTCTTGCGTCACCAACTGAACGCATCTCCAGCTGCTCGCATGTCCCTAAACACATCACACGCGCTAGTAACTGCGTAGTTCCCCGTAAGTAACACTGGGTTTAGGTTGCGGGAATTTTGGATTGGTCGTCCTGATTGCCCTTGGCTCAAATGTCCCCGAGCGCCCTCGCTTGTCCCTGGGTCCCCTCGTTTCCACGCTCCAAACCCTAATTACCCCCACTGCTCCCCCGCGTTCCCCCATCTCCTTCCCCTTATTTACCAAGATTGCTCCTCCTTGTTCCCCCATCTCCTTCCCCTTATTTACCCCTCTGCCCCTCCTTGTTCCCCCCTCTCCATCCCCTTATTTCCCCCTCTGCTTCGCTCGTTCCCGACCCTCCTTCCCCTTATTTCCCCCTCTGGTTCCCCTCGTTCCCCCCACTCCACCCCCTTGAGGTGAGTGAGTGTGGAAGCTGCTTCTGTCTGCTCGTGGTTTCTGCTTCTGCTCATAACTTGGGTCTGCATCACATGTGTGCGTCTGCCCATCTCCTTTCCTCGCTCACAACATCCTCTCCGACATCAGTCAGCCCTTCTCTAATCACCCCCACTCTCCCACCCCCTTCTGTGTCCCTGACTGCCCATCAGATCGACTCCCACTTTCTTCCCGCCTCTGACCACCTCTCAACTGCCCCTCCCCACTAAAGGCCCCTCTGCCTCTGCACATCCCCCCACCCTCCCAGCCTCCTTCTACCAGGCCTCGTCCTCTCACACCTCCATACACGCCTCCTTCCGACGCCCTTCCTTCGTTTCCTCATCCCTCTGCGGCACTCGTCCCCAACCCCATTGCCACCCCGCTGCAATTGCTGCATGTCCCTCTCTCGCTGCACGCAACATGAACCTCCTGCACTCCGCACACACTTCCACCCCTACAGACCCTCACACACTTCCTTGAACTTATTATCATTTGGCCGACAAAGGAGGGAAGCGAGGAATGGAATTCATATGACCATTACGGCAATTTGTACATCGATAAACCATAATCTCTGGTCCGCCTGGCACCCCCAAAAGCTTGTGGCGTCCAGGAAAGGCGACCTGCTGCGTTTATCATTACCTCGCTCGCCTATCCTCCCCATCGCCTGCCAGCACCGTCACATTTGCCGCGTCGCCTACAAGTAGAAGTTGGCTGCACACTTGACCAATCAAGAGTCACAAAGTTGGCTGTATGCATGGATTTGTCTGTGCTGTCACTTGTGACCAAACTGTTTTGATTACATACTGTGTTATGGTGCAGTACATGCTACAATACTGGTGATGTTTGCAACCTGTAATGATGTCACAAAACAATACTGGTGATGGGAGGAGGGAGTATGGGGAGTGGAAGTGAGAAGGAGATATGGCGTGGCGGGAAGGGGATATGGCGTGGCGGGAAGGGGATATGGCGTGGCGGGAAGGGGATATGGCGTGGCGGGAAGGGGATATGGCGAGGCGGGAAGGGGATATGGCGTGGCGGGAAGGAGATATGGCGTGGCGGGAAGGGGATATGGCGTGGCGGGAAGGGGATATGGCGTGGCGGTGGTCGCGGCGGGCCCGCGAGAGGAGGCGTGGGGCCCGTCCGATGAACCGAGCCAGTATGGAGGCATTTTCGCAGCCACGAATGGGTATAAATTAGAAACGAACGAGGCAGTGTGGGTTGGTGAGGGGAGACTACTTCGGACGTCGAATGGCAGAGGGCGAGGGCGGAGTCGTCCGAACGACTCCGGATGTCGTCCGGCGGAGGGCGAACGCGAAAGGGAGGGAACGCGAGCGGCGAGCGGGAAGCAGCGGCTCCCCGCGCGGGACGAACGGGGGACGGCGAGCTGGAGTGGGAGGACGGGATGGGACCGCAGATGCTGGCGCGTCAAGGCTAAACGAGACATTGTGGGGAGGGGAGGCGCTGTCGCTAATGGCCTCGCGGTGAGGCAGCGAGAGGAGGCGTGGGGCGGTCTTGTCTAAGGTAGCGAGGCGCTAAGCGAGTGCGTAGGCGTGGCGATTTGTCCGCGCGTGCGCGCAAACAGCATTACGCAGTACAAAAAACAGATTCTAACCCTAAATCTAGCTGTTCGGTTTATATGTTGCCTAGTCTACGCCAAATAACCTACCGCCGTGTGAGAGCGTGTGCTATCGACTGAACTGAAGTTTTAGTATCCTTTTGCGATTCCTAAGGTTTTGAACTGTGAGTGCGGGGAGCTGGACGTGGGGCGTTTGGGGGCTTAGTTCGCCAGTCAATCGGGGGGTTGGGGCTGTAATCATGTAACCAGTTTTTCAAGTTCCTAAGGTTTTTGAAAACCCAACTTTCAAAAGTATACTGTTGCTTTAATGTGTAAAATAATCCAACAACTCCACGTAGCTCTCGTGATTGGATTGGGGATTTCTCACTCACTCATATACGGTAAATTTTCCTAATGGTTGAATATTGTAAATTCCTGAATAGAGGCCCAACCAATTTTTTTGCCATCGCATGCTCATTCAAAAAGGAAATCACCACATATCATTATATATGTAGACAAAAGCATCTTCATGTAGACCACTTGGGCATTTGTGGGAATTCGTTCCAAAATCCGCAACCAGTCCTAACCGAGCAGAAAACGATTGAAGATGCAGCACTACCTTTTTTCTTTGGATCTGATTTCTGATCAGTGCTCTCAAGGCGATGCGTCGAATCGGCGCGCTTCACGCAGCTAGTCATCCTAGGCTCTCGCGATCGCACCAATGAAGCCTACCCGCGTGCCCGCGGAGCGAGTGGACAACATCTTCTTTAAGAAGCTCGGCGTCGAATTCCGCCTCGCGTCCGCCAAGGACGTGCAGGATGCGAGCCGACGCGGCGATGGGCGGCCAGGATCCGACGGCGAGGACGACAGCGGCGGGTTCGGAGGGGACGGGCTGTCGCTGCCTCCCGGCGGGCCGCGCCTGGCGGTTTCCAACAAGTTCGGCGTCTCCGTACTCGCCGGCGCTTGCGGTACTCGTGGCTCACCTACTCCCTTCTCACCTGCTGATTACTCGCTGCTCACTCGCTGATCACTCGCTGCTTACTCGCTTCTCACTTGTTCATTATCTCCTGTGCCGACCCTTTTTATTTCTCTCCAAGTGTTGTTTCCTCATCCCTCCCGCCTCAACCTTCCCCGCCCATCCCGCGTCGCGCGTCGGGCGTCGCAGGCTTCTACGCGGCGCACACGCGCGATCTGCTCGTCGTCGCCATGGGCTACAAGCGCCGCGCCGAGGCGGGCGACACGTTCCTCGACGCGCCGCTCTACGCCGGCGCTACAGCCGTGCGGCGCTACCGCCAAGACGGCGTCACGGCTGTAGCGCTGGCGGCGGACGAGCTCACCCTGGCAGTTGTAGCGGGCGCGCGCGTCGCGCTCTACAGCCTGCCGGCGCTGGTGGCGCCGTCTCCAGTGCTCAAAACGGACGAGGAGGTGAGTCTGTGCGCTGAATATTCGGCTGTAGCGCCGCCGTCCCCTGTGCTCAAGACAGATGAGGAGAAGAGACCAGAGATGGGTATGCGTCGCTCTGGCGGCTGTAGCGCCGGCAGCAACGCGGAAGCTCTTTCGTGCCTCCCCACTTCCCTCCCTCCTTCACCTCCCCGCTTCCCTCTTAAACCCCTCTCCCACTTCTCCCACCTCTTCCAACTCCCTCCCTCTTCCCCGTCCCCCGCACGCCCAGGCGCTGGTGGCGGAGGGGGCGGCGTGCAAGGCGGCGGAGGCGAGCGGCGCAGCAGCGCGCATGGAGAGCCCCCCCGCGCCCCTGCACACTGTGAACGTCGCGGAGGGCCTGCAGGGCGCGGGACGGGGCGGAGAGGGGGAGGAGGGCGCGCGCGTGGCGGAGTGGGGGTGGAACCCAGAGGTGGCGGGGAGCTTCATGGTGCGCACAGAGGGGGGGGTGGTGCTGGCAGGGCGCGTGGGACAGGCGGGACTCAAGCTCGTTGCTGATGGCGCCGCTGCTGGTATGCTTTCCGAATGCTGCTCTCTGCTTTGTTTGTAGACTTGTTGATTAATCTCTTGTGCACCTGCATGTGGTGCTGTGAGGTGCTGTGCGGTGCTGTGAGCAGCCTGAGTGCCTTGCCTCCGTGCTTCTCTCCCAACAGAGCCTCTCTCCCTTCCACCCGTCACCCCCTCCCCACCCTTTTTCCCATCACGCCCTCTCAGCCGCGTGGAGCCCTTTCGGCATGTTCCTGGCGGTGTGCTCTGCTGTGTGGTTCTATGAGATACTGTGAGGTGACTGAGTGCCTTGTCCTGAACTCCCACCCCACACCTCCCTCCCCCATCGCCCCCCTGTCAGCCGCGTGGAGCCCCTGCGGCATGTTCGTGGCGGTGTGCTCCCCGGTGAGGTGCTGAGTACCCAACCCAAGTGCTTTGACCTCTTGCTGTTGTCCCACACCTCCCTCAACCTCCCCCCTGTCAGCCGCGTGGAGCCCATGCGGCATGTTCCTTTCAGTGTGCTCCACCTCAGCGCGCCTCACCTTCCACTCCGACCTGCTGCTGCCGCTCTTCTCGCTCTCTCTCCACCTGCCCCCTCTGGGCGAATGCCCCACCGCGGGTGAGTGCGCTAACATCACCGTGGGTGAGTGAGGGCACCCCTAACCCGACCTGCCCATGTGATGAATCCATTTCTTGCACTGCCATGCCAACCTGCCATTCCTTCTCCATTGCACTGTCACTCGTGTGTGCGTTGCCCTGTGCTGTGCGTGGCTGCCTTCCGTCTCCCACGGTGCTTGCTTTGCTTTGCTTGCTTGCTTGCGTGCTCCCACTGCCACCCTACTCTGCCTTCATGCCATCACATGCTGTTGCTCTCTCTCTCTCTCCATGCATCACTGACATCCGTGCGCTGGGTGGCGCCCAACGCGCTGCTGGTGTCACTGTTCATGTGATTTATTTATATCTTGCACTGCGTGTGTGCTCTGTTTTGAGACGTCTCAAAACAAATCTTCATACATGTGGTTGTTGCTCTGTTGCCCTGTCTCCCTGCATCAGTCACATCGGTGCGCTGGGTGGCGCCCAACGCGCTGCTACTGGAGGGGGAGGCGGAGGATGAGGACTTTGGGGAGCCCACGCGCTCGCTCTTCTGCCTCTCCTCGCTGCACGGCAACCTGCACGAGGTGCGCCCTGCCCTCTGCACAGTGTGCCAAGACCTCTGCAACTATCCTCTTTTTTCCTCGCCCTGCTGCTTGAAGCATGTTCCTTCTGTGCTGGCCCACCACCCCGCGCTCTCTCTCACCCCATTCCTCCCGTGCTGGCCCCACCCACCCCGCTTGGTGCGCCTGAGTGGGCCGGGCAGGAGGCGAGCAGCAAGGAGGTGCGCCAGCTGGAGGGAGCGTTTGCAGGCGTGGAGGACGTGCCAGGTGGCGGCATGCTATTGGCCACGGTGCAGCAGTGGTGCGTGCGTGTTATGCCTCTGCTGTACTGTACTGGTACCTGGTGCACGCCATGCCATGCCTTCTGTCTTGTTCCACCTGCATGTCGTGTCGCCAGCACCCCAACGCCGCGGCCCCACCTGTTGCATAGTTACGTTTGGCTTTGATCTCCATGCTGGCATATCCCCTGCCCCCTTCTTCTCCCTCGCTCTGCTTGTGTGTGCGTACTTGCAACTGTGTGCGTGTGCGCATGCGCACTCGTGTGTGTGTGTGCATTTTACTTTCTCCGTGTGCATACTTTTATGTGTGCCTGTGTGTGTGTGTGTGTGTGTGTGTGTGTGTGTGTGCGAGTGTGTGTGTGTGTGTGTGCACATGAGCATGGTTGAGCAGGCAGGTGGCAGTGGCGGTGTGTCAGCGCAGCAGGGACTACCACGTCAACGTGATCCGATGGTTCCCGGCACCTTCCTCCTCCACTGCGGGCAAGGAGGAGGAGGAGGAGGAGCAGGAGGGCGGGGGGTGGGGCAACGCACGGGTGTGTGAGATCGCCAACGACCGATGGCTGGCGTGCATTCAGAAGCAGGGTGAGGGGATGAGCGTATGGGATGGGTGGACGTGGAGGGGTTGTGCGTGCAGGAGGAGGGGAGGAGGCAGTCACGCGTTGTACTCAGTCGTTGTGGCATGCTTCCTTGCCGCCACGCCTTCTCATTTCCTCCCTCTCTTTTCCCATCCTCCTTACCTCCTCTCGCCGTCTCCCCTGCGCCTGTCCTCACCCCAGAGAGTGGGGACGACTACGAGGTGGTGGGGGCAGCGGTGGATGTGAGCTCTGCATGGGGCGCAGCGCAGTAAGCCCCATGGACCCACCCACGGGATGATGACACCCACGTGGTGGTGGGGAAAGGCAGCACACTTCTCAAACTTCTCCCCCCCCCGACTCCCGTCACTGCAGAAAATGGAGACGAGACGACAACCAGGTGTTGGGGGCAGCAATGGACGTGTGCTCAGCATCGGGCGCGGTTAGCCTGAACTGAGCCCCATGGAACCGCGGGATGATGACAACCATGTGGTGGCATCGGTGGGAGGGGAAGGCAGCAGACCTCTATTTCCTTTCATCCACCGCGTATCCAACCCCCTATCCCCCGCCCTTCACCCCCTATCCCCCGCCCTTCACCCCCTCCAACTCCCCTTTCTCTCCTCGCTCCATCCACGCTCGCCGCCCCAGAGAATGGAGACGACAACCAGTTGGTGGGGGCGGCAGTGGACGTGTGTTCAGCATGGGGCGCGGTGAGCCCCATGGACCCACGGGACGATGACACACCGCTGCCTGCCACGCCTCTGCTGCTCGCCGTCACCCTCGACTGCTGCTTCTACGCCTTCTCTCTCGCCCGGTGCGCGCTCCCTCTCCCTCGCCCGGTGCGCGCTCCCTCTCCCTCGCCCGGTGCGCGCTCTCTCTCCCCCTCACGCAGTGTGCACCTTCACCTTCACCTTCACCTTCACCTTCACCTTCACCTTCACCTTCACCTTCACCTTCACCTTCACCTTCACCTTCACCTTCACCTTCACCTTCACCTTCACCTTCACCTTCACCTTCACCTTCACCTTCACCTTCACCTTCACCTTCACCTTCACCTTCACCTTCACCTTCACCTTCACCTTCACCTTCACCTTCACCTTCACCTTCACCTTCACCTTCACCTTCACCTTCACCTTCACCTTCACCTTCACCTTCACCTTCACCTTCACCTTCACCTTCACCTTCACCTTCACCTTCACCTTCACCTTCACCTTCACCTTCACCTTCACCTTCACCTTCACCTTCACCTTCACCTTCACCTTCACCTTCACCTTCACCTTCACCTTCACCTTCACCTTCACCTTCACCTTCACCTTCACCTTCACCTTCACCTTCACCTTCACCTTCACCTTCACCTTCACCTTCACCTTCCCCTTCACCTTCACCTTCCCCTTCCTTCACCTTCACCTTCACCTTCACCTTCACCTTCACCTTCACCTTCACCTTCACCTTCACCTTCACCTTCACCTTCACCTTCACCTTCACCTTCACCTTCACCTTCACCTTCACCTTCACCTTCACCTTCACCTTCACCTTCACCTTCACCTTCACCTTCACCTTCACCTTCACCTTCACCTTCACCTTCACCTTCACCTTCACCTTCACCTTCACCTTCACCTTCACCTTCACCTTCACCTTCACCTTCCCTTCCCTTCACCTTCACCTTCACCTTCACCTTCACCTTCACCTTCACCTTCACCTTCACCTTCACCTTCACCTTCACCTTCACCTTCACCTTCACCTTCACCTTCACCTTCACCTTCACCTTCACCTTCACCTTCACCTTCACCTTCACCTTCACCTTCACCTTCACCTTCACCTTCACCTTCACCTTCACCTTCACCTTCACCTTCACCTTCACCTTCACCTTCACCTTCACCTTCACCTTCCCCTTCCCCTTCCCTTCACCTTCACCTTCACCTTCACCTTCACCTTCACCTTCACCTTCACCTTCACCTTCACCTTCACCTTCACCTTCACCTTCACCTTCACCTTCACCTTCACCTTCACCTTCACCTTCACCTTCACCTTCACCTTCACCTTCACCTTCACCTTCACCTTCACCTTCACCTTCACCTTCACCTTCACCTTCACCTTCACCTTCACCTTCACCTTCACCTTCACCTTCACCTTCACCTTCACCTTCACCTTCACCTTCACCTTCACCTTCACCTTCACCTTCACCTTCACCTTCCCCTTCCCCCCTTCACCTTCACCTTCACCTTCACCTTCACCTTCACCTTCACCTTCACCTTCACCTTAACCTTCACCTTCAACTTCCCCTTCACCTTCACCTTCACCTTCACCTTCACCTTCACCTTCACCTTCACCTTCACCTTCACCTTCACCTTCACCTTCACCTTCACCTTCACCTTCACCTTCACCTTCACCTTCACCTTCACCTTCACCTTCACCTTCACCTTCACCTTCACCTTCACCTTCACCTTCACCTTCACCTTCACCTTCACCTTCACCTTCACCTTCACCTTCACCTTCACCTTCACCTTCACCTTCACCTTCACCTTCACCTTCACCTTCACCTTCACCTTCACCTTCACCTTCACCTTCACCTTCACCTTCACCTTCACCTTCACCTTCACCTTCACCTTCACCTTCACCTTCACCTTCACCTTCACCTTCACCTTCACCTTCACCTTCACCTTCACCTTCACCTTCACCTTCACCTTCACCTTCACCTTCACCTTCACCTTCACCTTCACCTTCACCTTCACCTTCACCTTCACCTTCACCTTCACCTTCACCTTCACCTTCACCTTCACCTTCACCTTCACCTTCACCTTCACCTTCACCTTCACCTTCACCTTCACCTTCACCTTCACCTTCACCTTCACCTTCACCTTCACCTTCACCTTCACCTTCACCTTCACCTTCACCTTCACCTTCACCTTCACCTTCACCTTCACCTTCACCTTCACCTTCACCTTCACCTTCACCTTCACCTTCACCTTCACCTTCACCTTCCCCTTCCTTCACCTTCACCTTCACCTTCACCTTCACCTTCACCTTCACCTTCACCTTCACCTTCACCTTAACCTTCAACTTCCCCTTCACCTTCACCTTCCCCTTCCCCTTCCCCTTCACCTTCACCTTCACCTTCACCTTCACCTTCACCTTCACCTTCACCTTCACCTTCACCTTCACCTTCACCTTCACCTTCACCTTCACCTTCACCTTCACCTTCACCTTCACCTTCACCTTCACCTTCACCTTCACCTTCACCTTCACCTTCACCTTCACCTTCACCTTCACCTTCACCTTCACCTTCACCTTCACCTTCACCTTCACCTTCACCTTCACCTTCACCTTCACCTTCACCTTCACCTTCACCTTCACCTTCACCTTCACCTTCACCTTCACCTTCACCTTCACCTTCACCTTCACCTTCACCTTCACCTTCACCTTCACCTTCACCTTCACCTTCACCTTCACCTTCACCTTCACCTTCACCTTCACCTTCACCTTCACCTTCACCTTCACCTTCACCTTCACCTTCACCTTCACCACCTTCACCTTCCCCTTCCTTCACCTTCACCTTCACCTTCACCTTCACCTTCACCTTCACCTTCACCTTCACCTTCACCTTCACCTTCACCTTCAC